GCCCTGGACCCGATGCTGACGATTCGGTGGCCCTGGCGCCCCAAATCCCCCAAATCCCCCCCAAATCCCCCCATAACCCCCCAAATCCCCCCATAACCCCATTCTGAGACCCCAAATCCCCCATAACCCCCCTAAAGCCCCCCAAAACCCCTCTAAACCCCCCAAATTTCTCTTTTCCCCCAGGCGTGCGCCCTGGACCCGATGCTGACGATTCGGTGGCCCTGAAGCCCCAAATCCCCCAAATCCCCCATAACCCCCAAATCCCCCCAAATCCCCCCAAAACCCCATTCTGAGACCCCAAATCCTCCCAAATCCCCCATAACCCCCCAAATCCCCCAAAACCCCTCTAAGCCCCCAAATTTCTCTTTTGCTCCCTCAGGCGTGCGCCCTGACCCGATGCTGGACGATTCGTGGCCCTGGCGCCCCAAATCCCCCAAATCCCCCAAATCCCCATAACCCCATTCTGAGACCCCAAATCCCCCATTGCCGCCTCAAATCCCCCAAATCCCCTAAAATTCCCCAAAACGCCCCCTAACCCCCTTTTTTGCCTTTTCCCCAGGCGTGCGCCCTGGACCCGATGCTGGACGATTCGGTGGCCCTGGCCCCCAAATCCCCCAAATCCCCCCCAAATCCCCTCCCTGACAATCTAGGACCCCATAACCCCCAATTCTTTAATCTTCTCCCCAGGCGTGCGCCCTGGACCTGATGCTGGACGATTCGGTGGCCCTGGCGCCCCAAATCCCCCAAATCCCCCAAATCCCCCATAACCCCATTCTGAGACCCCAAATCACCCCCAAATCCCCCAAATCCCCCACTAACCCCCCCAAATCCCCCATAACCCCCAGATCCCCTCAAATCCCCCCAAATCCCCCAAATCCCCCTAACCCCCTTTTTGTATTTCCCCAGGCGTCGCCCTGGACCCGATGCTGGACGATTCGGTGGCCCTGGCCCCCAAATCCCCATAGCCCCCAAATCCCCCAAATCCCCCAAATCCCCCATAACCCCATTCTGAGACCCCAAACCCCCCAAATCCCCCCAAAACCCCCTAACCCCTTTTTTGTATCTTTGCCCCCAGGCGTGCGCCCTGGACCCGATGCTGGACGATTCGGTGGCCCTGGCGCCCCAAATCCCCCCCAAATCCCCCCCAAACCCCCCCAAATCCCCCCAAATCCCCCCAAATCCCCCCAAATCCCCCCAAATCCCCCATAACCCCATTCTCAGACCCCAAATCCCCCCAAATCCCCCCTAAACCCCTCAAATCTCCTCTCTTTTTCCTCCAGGCGTGCGCCCTGGACCCGATGCTGGACGATTCGGTGGCCCTGGCACCCCAAATCCCCCAAATCCCCCCCCAAATCCCCTCCCCGACAATCTAGGACCCCAAATCCCCCTAACCCCCTCTTTTTTGTATTTTTGCCCCCCAGGCGTGCGCCCTGGACCCGATGCTGGACGATTCGGTGGCCCTGGCCCCCAAATCCCCCATAGCCCCCCAAATCCCCCAAATCCCCCAAACCCCCCATAACCCCATTCTGAGACCCCAAACCCCCCCATTACCACCCCAAACCCCCAAATCCCCCCAAATCCCCCCAAATTTCTCTTTTGCCCCCAGGCGTGCGCCCTGGACCCGATGCTGGACGATTCGGTGGCCCTGGCGTCCCAAATCCCCCCAAATCCCCCCAAATCCCCCCAAATCCCCCATAACCCCCCAAATCCCCTAAAACCCCCCAAAACGCCCCCTAACCCCCAATTTTTAATCTTTTCCCCCAGGCGTGCGCCCTGGACCCGATGCTGGACGATTCCGGTGGCCCTGGCACCCCAAATCCCCCCAAATCCTCCCCAAATCCCCCCCAAATCCCCCCAAATCCCCCCATTACCACCCCAAATCCCCCCCAAATCCCCCCAAATCCCCCCAAATCCCCCTAACCCCCCTTTATTTTGTATTTTTGCCCCCAGGCGTGCGCCCTGGACCCGATGCTGGACGATTCGGTGGCCCTGGCGCCCCAAATCCCCCAAATCCCCCCAAATCCCCCAAATCCCCCAAATCCCCCAAATCCCCCAAACCCCCCAAATCTCCCCATAACCCCCCAAATCCCCTTTCCCGACAATCTAGGACCCCTAGGACCCCCTAACCCCCTTTTTTGCATTTCCCCAGGCGTGCGCCCTGGACCCGATGCTGGACGATTCGTGGCCCTGGCGCCCAAATCCCCCAAATCCCCCCAAATCCCCCCAAATCCCCCCAAATCCCCCCAAATCCCCCCAAATCCCCCCATAACCCCATTCTGAGACCCCAAATCACCCCATAACCCCCCCAAATCCCCCAAATCCCCTAAACCCTCTTTATTTTGTATTTTCCCCCAGGCGTGCGCCCTGGACCCGATGCTGACGATTCGGTGGCCCTGGCACCCCAAATCCCCCAAATCCTCCCAAATCCCCCAAATCCCCCCAAATCCCCTCCCCGACAATCTAGTACCCCAAATCCCCCCCAAATCCCCCCAAATTTCTCTTTTTCCCCCAGGCGTGCACCCTGGACCCGATGCTGGACGATTCGGTGGCCCTGGCACCCCAAATCCCCCAAATCCCCCAAATCTCCCCAAATCCCCCCATAACCCCATTCTGAGACCTCAACCCCTCAAAACGCCCCCTAACCCCCTTTTTTTGTATTTTTGCCCCCAGGCGTGCGCCCTGGACCCGATGCTGGACGATTCGGTGGCCCTGGCACTCTAAATCCCCCTCAAATCCCCTCAAATCCCCCAAATCTCCACCAAATCCCTCTAAATCCTCCAAATCCTCCCATAACCTCCAAATCCCTCAAAACCCCTCTAAGCCCCCCAAATTTCTCTTTTTCCCCCCCCAGGCGTGCGCCCTGGACCCGATGCTGGACGATTCGGTGGCCCTGGCCCGCCGGCTGCGGGGGCTGGGCCGGCCCGTGACGCTCCGGGTGGTCTCGGGGGTCCCTCACGGCTTCCTGAGCCTCGCCCCCTGAGCCCCGAGTGCCGCCGGGCCGGGGGTCTCTGCGCCCGCCTGCTCAGGAGGTGCTGAAAGCCGAGACCCCGGCCTGGGACCCCTCAGCCCCGAACCCCCTGAGCCTGCTGAGCCCCTGCTGGTGGGCGGGGGTGGGCGGGGTCCTGCAGGAGAGCTTGAGGGGCTCTGGGGAAGGTTGGAGTGCCGGGGAGGGGTTCGGGTGTTGGGGAGGGGTTTGGGGGCTGGGGGTCCAGGAGGGAGAGTTTGGTGGCCAGGAGGAGAGCTTGGTGGCCAGGAGGGAGAGTTTGGGGGTCTGGGGGTCTGGGGGCGTCAGGAGGGAGAGTTTGGTGGCCAGGAGGGAAAGTTTGGGGGTCTGGGGGTCTGGGGTCCCCAGGAGGGAGAGTTTGATCCCGGGGACTCCAGGAGGGAAAGTTTGGGGGTTTGGGGGCTCTGGGGGTCCCAAGGAGGGAGAGTTTGGTGGCCAGGAGGGAGAGTTTGGTCTCGGGGGGCTCCAGGAGGGAGAGTTTGGGGGTTTGGGGGTCTGGGGTCTCCAGGAGGGAGAGTTTGATCTCGGGGGCTCCAGGAGGGAGAGTTTGGGGGTCTGGGGTCTCCAGGAGGGGAGAGTTTGATCCCGGGGGCATCGGGAGAGAGAATTTGGGGGCCTGGGGGTCCAGGAGGAGAGTTTGATCTCGGGGGGCTCCAGGAGGGAGAGTTTGGGGGGTTTGGGGGTCTGGGGTCTCCAGAAGGGAAAGTTTGGGGGTTTGGGGGCTTTTGGGGTCTCCAGGAGGGAGAGTTCGATCTCGGGGTCCCAGGGTTGGGGGTCTGGGTTTGGGGTCTCCAGGAGGAGAGTTTGGGGTCCTGGGTTGGGGGTCCCAAGGAGGGACAGTTTGAGCCCTGGGGGTCCAGGAGAGCGGGGGGTCCTGGGGGCGACCCCCGAGGTGGGGAGGGGGGACCCCAAATTTGGGGGATTTGGGGGGCAGCGAGACCCCCAATTTGGGGGGTAGTGGGACCCCCGATTTGGGAGGGGTGGGGGGCTCCAGGACCCCCGATTTGGGGGGCGAGACCCCCAGTGAGGAGGGAACTGAGACCCCCAAATTGGGGGGGTTGGGGGGTCCCGGGACCCCAAATTTGGGGGGTACTGAGACCCCCGGGATGGGAGGAATTGGGACCCCCAATTTGGGGGGTTTGGGGGGTCCCGGGACCCCAAATTTGGGGGGTGGGAAGACCCCAAATTTGGGGGGTTTAAGGGACACCGAGACCCCCAAATTGGGGGGTTTGGGGAGTCCCAGGACCCCAAATTTGGGGGGTACTGAGACCCCCAGGATGGGAGGAACCGAGACCCCCAATTTGGGGGGTCGGGGGGGCACCGAGACCTCCGATTTGGGGGGCACCGGGACCCCCAATGTGGGGGATTTGGGGGCTCCCAGGACCCCCAATTTGGGGGGCACCGGGACCCCCGGGATGAGGGGTTTGGGGGGCACCGGGACCCCCAGTGTGGGGGGAATTGAGACCCCCAATTTGGGGGGTTTGGGTGGTCCCAGGACCCCCAATTTGGGGGGAGCCACGACCCCCAATTTGGGGGGTTTGGGTGGTCCCAGGACCCCCAATTTGGGGGGTTCGGGTGGTCCCAGGACCCCCAATTTGGGGGGGTCGGAGTCTCCCGGGACCCCCAATTTAACTCCCTCCCCACTCCCCCGTGCTGCGCGACCTCCACGCGGGGGCCCCTCCCTCCCCTCCCCCCACCTCCCCTCCGCGACCCCTCCCCACGGGGAGCCCCCACGCCGGCCCAGCGACCCTGCGGTGAGGTGGGGCCGTGAGACCCCCAAATCTTAACACCCTCCCCTTCGTTGTAAACCCTCCCCCCCAATTTTGGGGGACTCCCAAAGGGGAAATAAAGATCACGACCCTCCCCCACCCCCAACTTTGAGCTCTGGATGCGCCGTGGGGAATTTTGGGGGAATTTTGGGGGTCGTGGGAGGGGAGGAGACGCCTGGAGCCCCCCAAAATATTTGGGGTTGGCCCCAAATTTGGGGGTTTTGCCCTCAAAAACCACTCTGGGAAAGGGGGAGGGTGGGAAAATGTTTATTGGGGGCACAAATTTTAGGGGGAGGGGGTGGGAGGGACTCCCAAAATAAATACGGGTTTAAGGAGTGGGGAGGGAAACCCCCTAAAATAGGGAGACCCCCAAAAAAATTGGAGTGTTGAGTGAAAGGGGAGGGAATATTGGGGTGACCTTCCCAAAAATTGGGGGTCTACCCCAAAATTTGAGGTTCCCAGAGACCCAAAATTCCCCAAAATCCCCCTCCCCACAAAAATTTGGGGTTCTGGAGCCCCAAAAATCCCCCCCAAATCGTGTCCTACCCCCAAAATCGTTTCCAACCCCCTAAAATCGTGCCCTACCCCCTAAAATCGCATCCCACCCCTCCAAATCCCCCCAAACCGAGTCCAACCTCCCAAATCTCTCCCAGATCCCCCAAAATCGTGTCCTACTCCCCAAAATCGTCTCCCACTCCCCAAAATCGCGTCCCACCCTCTAAATCCCCCCAAAATCGCATCCCAGCCCCCCAAAATCAGAGTCCCACCCCACAAATCGTGTCCTACTCCCCAAAATCGTGTCCTACCCCCCAAATCTTCTCTCCCATCACCCCAAAACCCCCAAAATCGTGTCCTACTCCCCAAATGCCCCCAAAATCGCGTCCCATCCCCCAAATCTCTCCCAGACCCCCAAATCCCCCCAAGTCGTCTCCCACTCCCCCAAAATCGTGTCCTACCCCCCAAAATCGCATCCCACCCCCCCAAATCCCCCCAAATCGTGTCCCACCCTCCAAAATCGTCTCCTACTCCCCCAAATCCCCCAAAACTGAGTCCAACCCCCAAATCTCCCCAGACTCCCCAAATCGTGGTCCTACTCTCAAAAATCGTCTCCTACCCCCCAAACCCCCCCAAATCGTCTCCCACCCTCCCAAATCGTGTCCCACCCCCCCAAATTTTCTCTCCTGACCCCCAAATTTTCTCTCCTGACCCCAAATCCCCTCAAATCGTGTCCCACCCCCCAAATCTCTCCCAGACCCCCCAAATCCCCCAAAATCGCCTCCCACTCCCCCAAAATCGTGTCCTACCCCCCAAATCTCTCCCAGATCCCCCCAAATCCCCCAAAATCGCCTCCCACCCCCATAATCGCATCCCACCCCCAAATTCGTCTCCTACCCCCCAAATCCCCCCAAAATCGTGTCCTACCCCCGAAGTCGCATCCCACCACCCCAAATTCCCCCCAAATCGTGTCCCACCTCCCCAAATCTTCTCTCCCATCACCCCAAAACCCCCAAAATCGTGTCCTACCCCCAAAATCGTCTCCCACCCCCAAATCTCTCCCAGATCCCCCCAAAATCGCCTCCCACCCCCCCAAAATCGCATCCCACCCCCCAAATCCCCCAAATCGTGTCCTATCCCCCAAATCTCTCCCAGATCCCCAAATCCCCCAAAATCGCCTCCCACCCCCAAATCTCTCCCAGACCCCCCAAATCCCCCAAAATCGCCTCCCACTCCCCAAAATCGTGTCCTACCTCCCAAATCTCTCCCAGATCCCCCCAAATCCCCAAAATCGTCTCCCCACTACCCCAAAATCACGTCCCACTCCCCAAAATCGCATCCCACCCCCAAAATCGCATCCCACTCCCCAAATCGTGTCCTACCCCCTAAAATCTCTCCCAGATCCCCCCAAATCCCCCAAAATCGTCTCCTCACTACCCCAAAATCACGTCCCACTCCCCAAAATCGCATCCCACCCCCCAAATCCCCCCAAAATCGTCTCCCACTCCCCAAAATCGCGTCCCACCCCACCTAAAATCGTATCCCACCTCCCCAAATCCCCTAAAATCGTCTCCCACCGCCCCAAATCTCTCCCAGACCCCCAAATCCCCAAAATCGTCTCCTACTCCCCCAAATCCCCTCAAGATCGTCTCCTACTCCCCCAAATCTCTCCCAAATCCCCAAAATCGTCTCCCACTCCTCCAATCGTGTCCCTACCCCCAAATCCCTCCAAAACTGAGTCCCACCTCCCCAAAATCGTCTCCCACCTCCCAAAAATCGCCTCCCACCGCCCCAAAATCGCCTCCCACCCCCCAAATCCCCCAAAATCGTCTCCTACTCCCCAAAATTGTGTCCAACCCCCCCACTCCCCAGACCCCCTAAATCGTCTCCCACCTCCCCAAATCTCTCCCAGACCCCCAAATTCTCTCTCCTGACCCCCAAATCACCTCCCACCCCCTCAAATCCCCCCAAAATCGTGTCCCACCTCTCCAAATCCCTCCCAGACCCCCCAAAATCGCGTCCTACCCTCTAAAATCTGCATCCCACCCCCCCAAATCTCTCCCAGATCCCCCCAAATCGTCTCCTACCCCCCCAAGTCCCCCCAAATCGTCTCCTACCCCCTAAATCGTGTCTCTACCCCCCAAATCTCTCCCAGACCCCTCAAATCCCCCTCAAAATCGTCTCCCCACCTCCTGAAAATCGCATCCCACTCCCCAAATCCCCCAAATCGTGGTCCAACCCCCCCAAATCTCTCCCAGATCCTTCCTAAATCCCCCCTAAAACTGAGTCCAACTCCCCCAAATCGCCTCTCCTACTCCCTAAAATCGTGTCCCACCCCCAAAAATCGTGTCCTACCCCCAAAATCGTGTCCTAGCCCCCCAAATCTTCTTTCCCACTCTCAAATCCCCCCAAATCGTAACCCACCCCCTAAAATATCTGCCCTAGCTCCCCCAAAATGCATCCCACTTCTCAGCGCCCCCTAAAATCGTATCCCACTCCTCTAAATCCCCCAAATCGTATCCCACCCCCCTAAATCTCCCCAGACCCCCAAATTTTCTTCCTGACCCTCAAATCCTCTCTCAAACCCCCAAAAATCTCTACAGCGCCATCGAGGTGAGCTCCTCCCAACCCCCCTTCCTCGCTGGGTGCCTCGATTCCTCTGGGCCCTCAACCCCGCCCCCCCGCCCCCACCCGTGCAGCCCCTGCCTGAGGGTGACCAAGGCCGAGGCCAGGGCGGCTCGGGGTCCCCCGGGACCTCCCGGCAGCTGCAGGAGCAGCGTGGCTACCGCGGCCACCCTGTCCTCGGTGGGCTCCAGTCACCGGCCCTGCTGCCCGGGGGAGGGGCAATTTGGGGTCCGAGCTCCTCCGAGACCCCCAGAGCGAGGTTTGGGGGAGGGGGGTCAGAGGGTCAGCGGCCAGGTGGTGGGGGGGAGGGGGGAGGGAGGAGGGGGTGGGGGAGGGGCGGGGTGGGGGCGGGAGGGGAAAAGGGGGCGTGGGGGCCTGGGGTGGGGCTGGGGGTCCAGGGGTGATTTTGGGTGGTCAAGAGGGGGTCCTGGGGTGTTTTTGGGGTCCCTGGGGTGGGGCTGGGTGGTCCAGGAAGGTGGTTTTGGGGTCCCTGGAGTGTTTTGGGGGTCCAGGGTGGTTTGAGGGCCAAGAGGGGTTTTGGTGGTCCGGGAAGGTGCTTTTGGGGGTCCTTGGGGTGATTTTTGGGGTCCCTGGGGTGGGTCTGGTAGGGTCCCGGGGTGTTTTTGGGTGGCCAAGAGGGGGTTTTGGGTGGCCAGATGGAGATTTTGGGGGTCCAGGGGTGACTTTTGGGGGTCCCTGGGGTGGGTTTTGGGTCCAAGAGGGGATTTTGGGGTCCAGGGGTGTTTTTGGGTGACCAAGAGGGGGTCCTGGGGTCCCTGGGGTGGGTTTGGGTGTCCAGGGGTATTTTTGGGGGTCCCTGGGGTGGGTTTGGGTGGCCAAGAGGGGATTTTGGGGGTCCAGGGGTTGTTTTTGGGTGACCAAGAGGGGGTCCTGGGGGTCCCTGGGGTGGGTTTGGGTGTCCAGGGGGTATTTTTGGGGGTCCCTGGGGTGGGTTTGGGTGGCCAAGAGGGGATTTTGGGGTCCCTGGGGTGGGTTTGAGGGTCCAGGGGTGACTTTTGGGGGTCCAGGAGGGGGTCCTGGGAGTCCCTGGAGTGAATTTGGGGGTCCAGATGGACATTTTGGGGGTCAAGGTGGATATTTTGGGGGTCCAGGGGTGACTTTTGGGGGTCCAGGGGGTGAATTTGGGGGTCCTGGTGGCCATGGGGTCTCCTGAGGTCCAGGGGTTCTTGGGGCCCTCCACGGGGACATTTTGGTTCTCCAGGTGCACATTTTGGGTCTCCAAGTGCAAATTTTGGGTCTCCACCACCTCTTCCACCTCCGCCTTGCAGTTGGCCAACCGTTGACTTGGCCAACCCTGGTTGCCCAACCTGCCCTTCTGGTGGCCCAGGGAGGTCTCCTGGTGGCCCAGGGGGGTCTCCTGGTGGCCCAGGGGGTTCTTGGGACCCTCCACAAGCACATTTGGGGTCTCCACCACCTCTTCCCCCTCCGCCTTCCTGTTGGCCAACCGTTGACTTGGCCAACCCTGGTTGCCCAACCGGCCCTTCTGGTGGCCCAGGGAGATCTTTGGACCCTCCAGGTGTGGATTTGGACCCTCCATGAGCACATTTTGGGTCTCCAGGTGCAAATTTTGGGTCTCCAGGTGCACATTTTGGCTCTCTTCCCCCTCGGCCTTCCTGTTGGCCAACCGTTGACTCGGCCAACCCTGGTTGCCCAAGGGGCCCTTCTGGTGGCCCAGGGGGTTCTTGGGACCTTCCACGAGCACATTTTGGGTCTCCAAGTGCACATTTTGGGTCTCCAAGTGCACATTTTGGGTCTCCAGGTGCACATTTTGGCTCTCTTCCCCCTCCACCTTGCAGTTGGCCAACCGTTGACTTGGCCAACCCTGGTTGCCCAACTGGCCCTTCTGGTGGCCCAGGGAGTTCTTCGAGCACATTTTGGGTTCCACGAGCACATTTTGGGTCTCCAAGTGCACATTTTGGGTCTCCAAGTGCAAATTTTGAGTCTCCAACTGCTCTTCAGTCTCCAACTTCCTGTTGGCCAACCGTTGACTTGGCCAACCTTGGTTGCCCAACTGGCCCTTCTGGTGGCCCAGGGAGTTCTTCGAGCACATTTTGGGTCTCCAGGTGCAGATTTTGGGTCTCCAAGTGCACATTTTGGGTCTCCAGGTGCACATTTTGGGTCTCTTCCCCCTCCACCTTCCTGTTGGCCAACCGTTGACTTGGCCAACCCTGGTTGCCCAAGGGGCCCTTCTGGTGGCCCAGGGGGTTCTTAGGACCTTCCACAAGAACATTTTGGGTCTCCAAGTGCACATTTTGGGTCTCCAAGTGCAAATTTTGGGTCTCCAGTTGCTCTTCAGTCTCCAACTTGCGGTTGGCCAACCGTTGACTTGGCCAACCCTGGTTGCCCAACTGGCCCTTCTGGTGGCCCAGGGGGTTCTTAGGACCTTCCACGAGCACATTTTGGGTCTCCAGGTGCAGATTTTGGGTCTCCAAGTGGAGATTTTGGGTCTCCAAGCGTTGACTTTGGGGGTCCATCAGTTCTTCCACCTCCGCCTTGCGGTTGGCCAACCGTTGACTTGGCCAACCCTGGTTGCCCAACCTGCCCTTCTGGTGGCCCAGGGGGGTCTCCTGGTGGCCCAGGGGGGTCTCCTGGTGGCCCAGGGAGTTCTTTGGACCCTCCACGAGCACATTTTGGGTCTCCAGGTGCAGATTTTGGGTCTCCAAGTGCAAACTTTGGGTCTCCACCACCTCTTCCCCCTCCACCTTGCAGTTGGCCAACCGTTGGCTCGCCCAACCCCGGTAGCCCCGGGGCGCCCTCCGGTAGCCCGGGCGCGTCTCGAAGCAGACGGTGACCCTGGCGAAGGGCCGGGCCGCCATCTTGGACATCTCCTGGCGGTGCCGGCGCCGCTCGTGCCGCGCGTCCAGGCCCTGCTTGGCCTTCCAGAGGAGGACGCAGAGGGCGAGGAAGAGGAAGAAGCAGGAGAAGAAGACGGAGAAGAAGACGAAGAGGTCGATGTGGGCCTGGTCCTGGCGGAAGAAGAGGAGCCCCTGGGAGGGTTCGGGACCCCCCAGGACCAGCAGGTAGAAGCGGGTGGACTTGAGGGGGTGGCGGTTGTGGGGGTAGGTGAGGACCAGGCGGTCCCGGACCCCCCGGACCACCAGGGCGGGCACGGGGTCGGCCACGGTCAGGTAGGTGACCAGCCCGGCCCCGGCGCGCTCCTCGCGAAGCACGGGGGCTGGGGCGGGAGGGGTCTGAGGGGGGGTCCCAAGGGGTGTCGGGGTCTTTGGGGTCGCCAGTGTGGCCAGTATGGCCAGTATGACCAGTATGGCCAGTATGGCCATTGAGATGGGTGTTGGTGTCTTCAGGGTCACCAGTATGACCAGTATGACCAGTACGGTCACTGGGAGAGGTGTTGGAGTCTTCAAGGTCACCAGTATGACCAGTATGGCCAGTATGGCCATTGAGATGGGTGTTGGTGTCTTCAAGGTCACCAGTATGGCCAGTATGACCAGTATGACCAGTATGGACGCTGAGAGCGGTGTTGGCGTCTTCAGGAGCTCCAGGAACACCAGTATGGCCAGTATGGCCAGTATGGTCACTGGGAGAGGTGTTGGGGTCTTCAAGGTCACCAGTATGACCAGTATGGCCAGTTTGGCCAGTATGGTCACTGGGAGAGGTGTTGGAGTCTTCAGGGTCACCAGTATGACCAGTATGACCAGTATGGCCACTGGGATGGGTGTTGGAGTCTTCAGGAGCTCCAGGGCCACCAGTAGACCAGTATGACCAGTATGGCCACTGGGACCAGTGTTGGCGTCTTCAGGTCCCCCAGTAACACCAGTATGACCAGTGACACCAGTAGGACCAGCATCAGCACCTCCAGGTCCACCAGTAACACCAGTATGACCAGTGGGGTGACTGGGAGAGGGGTTGGGGGCTCCAGGGCCACCAGTAGGACCAGTGCCACCAGCACCAGTTCCTCCAGTCCCGAGGGTGTCACCTCCACCAAAACCAGTTCCTCCAGTCCCACCACCCCCAGAACCAGTCCCAGAGGTGCCACCACCAGTTCCTCCAGTCCCAGAACCAGTCACACCACTCTCAAAGGTCCTACCACCAGTCCCTCCAGTCCCTCCAGTCCCAAACCTGTTCCCTCCAGTCCCACCACTCCCTCCAGTCCCAGAACCAGTTCCACCAGTCCCTCCAGTCCCAGAACCAGTTCCTCCAGTCCCACCAGTCCCAAAGCTGTTCCCCCCAGTCCCACCAGTCCCTCCAGCCCCAAAACCAGTGCCCCCAGTCCCACCAGTCCTCCAGCCCCAACCAGTCCCACCCAGTTGCTCCCAGCCCCAGAACCAGTCCCACCAGTTCCTCCAGTCCCACCACCCCCAGAACCAGTTCCTCCAGTCCCAGAACCAGTTCCTCCACTCCCACTGGTCCCAGAGGTTCCTCCACCCCCAGAACCAGTTCCTCCAGTTCCTCCAGGTCCCACACACCAGTCCCTCCAGTCCCCCACCCCCAGGACCCAGTTCCCCCAGCCCCAGAACCAGTTCCTCCAGTCCCAGAACCAGTCCCAGAACCAGTTCCTCCAGTCCCACTCACCCCCAGTCCCCCCAGCCCCAAACCAGTCCCCCCAGCTCCCAAAACCAGTTCTCCAGTCCCAGTCCACCCACCAGTTCCTCCAGTCGCTACCACCACTTCCTCCAGTCCCAGAACCAGTTCCTCCAGTCCCACCAGTCCCCCCACCCCCAAAACCAGTGCCCCCATTGCCCCCAGCCCCAGAACCAGTTCCTCCAGTTCCTCCACTTCTTCCAGTCCCAAAACCAGTGCCCCCAGTGCCCCCACCCCAGAACCAGTCCTCCAGTCCCCCACCCCCAGAACCAGTCCCCAGCCCCAAAACCAGTTCCACCAGTTCCTCCAGTCGCACCACCACTTCCTCCAGTCCCACCAGTCCCCCCACCCCAAAAACCAGTGCCCCCAGCGCCCCCAGCTGCCCCAGCCCCCGCACCCTGACGAGGTGCCGCCCCGTGCGGGGCTCGACGTCGACGGCGAAGGTGTCGTAGGCGGTGGCCACGTAGAGGTCGACGGCGCCGAAGGTGACGTCCAGCGTCACCCGGATGTCCACGTTGGTGAACTTGGGCTGGACGGCGAAGGGCACGGCGCGGCCGGGGGGCAGCGGGCGCCGCTGGGGCGGGGGGAAGCACTGGGACTGGGACTGGGGGTCCAGGCAGTACTCCTGCTCCACGGCCAGCAGCCGGTAGCACTGCTGGCCACCAACAGGGTGGCCCTGGAAGGAGTCGCGGCACTTGGAGCACTGGGGGGACATCAAAAGTGGCATTGGAATGGTCAACGGGGTCAACGGGGTCATTGGGATGGTCAACGGGGTCAACGGGGTCATTGGGATGGCCATTGAGGTCATGGGGATGGTCAACAGGGTCAACAGGGTCATTGGGATGGTCAACGGGGTCAACGGGGTCATTGGGATGGTCATTGGGTCATTGGGGTCACTGGGATGGTCATTGAGGTCATTGGGGTCATTGGGATGGTCATTGAGGTCACTGGGATGGTCATTGGGGTCACTGGGATGGTCATTGAGGTCATTGGGGTCATTGGGATGGCCAACAGGGTCAACTGAGCTCATTGGGGTCATTGGGATGGTCATTGAAGTCATTGGGGTCACTGGGAGGGTCATTGAGGTCATTGTGGTCACTGGTATGGTCATTGAGGCCCCTGTGGTCACTGAGAGGGTCATTGAGGTCATTGGGGTCACTGGGATGGTCATTGAGGTCCCTGGGGTCACTGGGAGGGTCCCTGGGGGGACACAGCCCTGGACTGGGACTGGGGGTCCAGGCAGTACTCCTGCTCCACGGCCAGCAGCCGGTAGCACTGCTGGCCACCAACAGGGTGGCCCTGGAAGGAGTCGCGGCACTTGGAGCACTGGGGGGACACCAAAAGTGATGTCAGAAGGGTCAATGGGGTCATTGGGATCATTGGGGTCATTGGGATGGTCAACGGGGTCATTGGGATGGTCAACGGGGTCAACGGGGTCATTGGGATGGCCATTGAGGTCATGGGGATGGTCAACAGGGTCAACAGGGTCATTGGGATGGTCAACGGAGTCATTGAGATGGTCATTGAGGTCATTGGGTCATTGGGGTCACTGGGATGGTCATTGAGGTCATTGGGTCACTGGGATGGTCATTGGGTCACTGGGATGGTCATTGAGGTCACTGGGGTCACTGGGGTCATTGAGATGGTCATTGAGGTCATTGGGATGGTCATTGAGGTCACTGGGGTCATTGGGTCACTGGGATGGTCAATAGGCTCATTGGGATGGTCATTGAGGTCATTGGGGTCATTGGGATGGTCATTGAGGTCATTGGGGTCACTGGGGTCATTGGGATGGTCATTGAGATCATTGAGGTCATTGGGGTCATTGGGATGGTCATTGGGTCACTGGGATGGTCATTGAGGTCAACGGGGTCATTGGGATGGTCATTGGGTCACTGGGATGGTCATTGTGGTCATTGGGGTCATTGGGATGGTCATTGAGGTCATTGGGGTCACTGGGATGGTCACTGAGGTCATTGGGGTCACTGGGATGGTCATTGGGTCACTGGGGTCATTGGGATGGTCATTGGGGTCATTGGGATGGTCATTGAGGTCATTGGGGTCATTGGGATGGTCATTGAGGTCATTGGGGTCATTGGGATGGTCATTGGGGTCATTGGGATGGTCATTGGGGTCAACGGGGTCATTGGGATGGTCATTGGGGTCATTGGGGTCACTGGGATGGTCATTGAAGTCATTGGGGTCACTGGGATGGTCATTGAGGTCATTGGGGTCATTGGAATGGTCAACGGGGTCAACGGGATCATTGGGATGGTCATTGAGGTCATTGGGTCACTGGGATGGTCATTGAGGTCATTGGGGTCATTGGGATGGTCCCTGAGCTCATTGGGGTCATTGGGATGGTCATTGGGGTCATTGGGATGGTCATTGAGGTCATTGGGGTCATTGGGATGGTCATTGAGGTCACTGGGATGGTCATTGGGTCATTGGGATGGTCATTGAGGTCATTGGGGTCATTGGGATGGTCATTGGGGTCATTGGGATGGTCATTGGGTCACTGGGATGGTCATTGGGGTCATTGGGGTCATTGGGATGGTCATTGTGGTCATTGGGGTCATTGGGATGGTCATTGGGTCATTGGGATGGTCATTGGGGTCATTGGGGTCATTGGGGTCATTGGGATGGTCATCGGGGTCATTGGAGTCATTGGGATGGTCATTGAGGTCATTGGGTCATTGGGGTGGTCATTGAGGTCATTGGGGTCATTGGGATGGTCATTGAGGTCATTGGGTCATTGGGATGGTCATTGAGGTCATTGTGGTCATTGGGGTCATTGGGGTCATTGGGGTCATTGGGGTCATTGGGATGGTCATTGGGGTCATTGGGGTCATTGGGGTCATTGGGATGGTCATTGGGGTCATTGGGATGGTCATTGAGGTCATTGGGGTCATTGGGATGGTCATTGAGGTCACTGGGTCATTGGGATGGTCATTGAGGTCATTGGGGTCACTGGGGTCATTGGGATGGTCATTGGGGTCACTGGGATGATCATTGAGGTCATTGGGTCACTGGGATGGTCACTGAGGTCATTGGGTCATTGGGATGGTCATTGGGGTCATTGGGGTCATTGGGATGGTCACTGGGGTCATTGTGGTCACTGGGATGGTCATTGGGGTCATTGGGGTCATTGGGATGGTCACTGAGGTCATTGGGATGGTCATTGGGGTCATTGGGGTCATTGGGATGGTCATTGGGGTCATTGGGGTCACTGGGATGGTCATTGGGGTCATTGGGAGGGTCATTGAGGTCATTGGGTCACTGGGATGGTCATTGGGGTCATTGAGGTCACTGGGATGGTCATTGGGGTCACTATTGGTGGTGGGGAGGGGTCCCCATCGCGTCCCCAGGGGTGTCACCTCTGCCCAGGTGTCCCCAGGTGTGCCCCAAATGTCCCCAGGGGTGTTACCTGTGCCCAGGTGTGCCCAATGTCCCCAACAGTGTCTTACCTGTCCTCCCAGGTGTCTCACCTGTCCCCAGGTGTCCCCAATGTTCCCCCAGGTGTGTCACCTGTGCCCAGGTGTCCCCAGGGGTGTCCCCAATGTTCCCCCAGGTGTGTCACCTGTGTCCAGGTGTCCCCAGGTGTCCCCAATGTCCCCAGGGGTGTTACCTGTGCCCAGGTGTGCCCAATGTCCCCAACAGTGTCTTACCTGTCCTCCCAGGTGTCTCACCTGTCCCACCTGTCCCCAAGGTCCACCCAGGTGTCCCCCATGTCCCCAGGGGTGTCACCTGTCCCCAGGTGTCTCACCTGTCCCCAATGTCCCCAACAGGGTCCCACCTGTCCCCCCAGGAGTGTCACCTGTCCCCAATGGCCCCCCTAGGTGTCCCCAATGTCCCCAGGAGTGTCACCTGTGCCCAGGTGTCCCCAGGTGTCCCCAATGTCCCCAACAGTGTCTCACCTGTCCCACCTGCCCCCGATGTCCCCCCAAGTGTCCCCAGGGGTGTCACCTGTCCCCAGATGTGTTACCTCTGCCCAGGTGTGTTACCTGTGCCCAGGTGTGCCCAGGTGAGTTACCTGTGCCCAGGTGAGTTACCTGGTGGCGGTGGCAGTGCCGTCTCTCGGGGCAGGGGGCGCTCTCGGTGTTGTTCTGGCACGGACAGCCCCCAATGCCCCCAATGCCCCCCCAGGTGTGTTACCTGTGCCCAGGTGTGCCCAGGTGAGTTACCTGTGCCCAGGTGAGTTACCTGGTGGCGGTGGCAGTGCCGTCTCTCGGGGCAGGGCGCTCTTGGTGTTGTTCTGGCATGGACAGCCCTGCCCCCAATGCCCCCCCAGGTGTGCCCAATGTGCCCAGGTGTGCCCAGGTGTGTTACCTGTGCCCAGGTGAGTTACCTGGTGGCGGTGGCAGTGCCGTCTCTCGGGCAGGGCGCTCTCGGTGTTGTTCTGGCACGGACAGCCCCTCCCCCAATGCCCCCCCAGGTGTGTTACCTGTGCCCAGGTGTGCCCAGGTGTGCCCAGGTGTGCCCAGGTGAGTTACCTGGTGGCGGTGGCAGTGCCGTCTCTCGGGGCAGGGGGCGCTCTCGGTGTTGTTCTGGCACGGACAGCCCCCAATGCCCCCAATGCCCCCCCAGGTGTGTTACCTGTGCCCAGGTGTGCCCAGGTGAGTTACCTGTGCCCAGGTGAGTTACCTGGTGGCGGTGGCAGTGCCGTCTCTCGGGCAGGGCGCCTCGGTGTTGTTCTGGCACGGACAGCCCCAATGCCCCCAGGTGTGCCCAGGTGAGTACCGTGCCCAGTGTTACCTGCGGTGCAGGCCGTCTCTCGGCAGGGCCCGGTGTTGTCTGGCACGGATAGCCCCATGCCAATCCCAGGTGTTACCTGCCCAGGTGCCCAGGTGAGTTACCTGGTGGCGGTGGCAGTGCCGTCTCTCGGGGCAGGGGGCTCTCGGTGTTGTTCTGGCACGGACAGCCCCAATGCCCCAATGCCCCAATGCCCCCAGGTGTGTTACCTGTGCCCAGGTGTGCCCAGGTGTGTTACCTGTGCCCAGGTGAGTTACCTGGTGGCGGTGGCAGTGCCGTCTCTCGGGCAGGGGGCGCCTCGGTGTTGTTCTGGCACGGACAGCCCCGCCCAATGCCCCCAATGTTCCCCCCAGGTGTGCCCAGGTGTGCCCAGGTTACCTGTGCCCAGGTGAGTTACCTGGTGGCGGTGGCAGTGCCGTCTCTCGGGGCAGGGGGCGCTCTCGGTGTTGTTCTGGCACGGACAGCCCCTCCCCCAATGCCCCCCCAGGTGTGTTACCTGTGCCCAGGTGTGCCCAGGTGAGTTACCTGTGCCCAGGTGAGTTACCTGGTGGCGGTGGCAGTGCCGTCTCTCGGGGCAGGGGGCGCTCTCGGTGTTGTCCTGGCAGGGACAGCCCCTCCCCCAATGTGCCCCCAATGCCCCCCCAGGTGTGTTACCTGTGCCCAGGTGTGCCCAGGTGTGTTACCTGTGCCCAGGTGAGTTACCTGGTGGCGGTGGCAGTGCCGTCTCTCGGGGCAGGGGGCGCTCTCGGTGTTGTTCTGGCACGGACAGCCCCCAATGCCCCCAATGCCCCCCCAGGTGTGTTACCTGTGCCCAGGTGTGCCCAGGTGAGTTACCTGTGCCCAGGTGAGTTACCTGGTGGCGGTGGCAGTGCCGTCTCTCGGGGCAGGGGGCGCTCTCGGTGTTGTTCTGGCACGGACAGCCCGTCCCGTCCAGCTCGTTGCAGGTGTCGGCGTGGCCGTTGCACTGGCACCTGCGGATGGGGGGGCAGGTGACACACCTGGGGGACAGGTGACGCACCTGGGGGCAGGTGACACACCTGGGGGACAGGTGACACACCGGGGACAGGTGACACACCTGGGGGGCAGGTGGCACACCTGGGGGGCAGGTGGCACACCTGGGGACAGGTGGCACACCTGGGGACAGGTGGCACATTTGGGGGCAGGTGGCACACCTGGGGGGCAGGTGGCACACCTGGGGACAGGTGACACACCTGGGGGACAGGTGGCACACCTGGGAGCAGGTGGCACACCTGGGGGACAGGTGGCACACCTGGGGACAGGTGACACACCTGGGGGCAGGTGGCACATCTGGGGGACAGGTGGCACACCTGGGGGACAGGGGATACACCTGGGGGGAACCAGTTGGGACAGGTGGCACACCTGGGGGCAGGGGACACACCTGGGGGGCAGGTGATACACCTGGGGGGACAGGTGACACACCTGGGGGGAGTAACTGGGACAGGTGACACAGCTGGGACAGGTGACACACCTGGGGGCAGGTGACACACCTGGGACAGGTGACACACCTGGGGACAGGTGACACACCTGGGGGGAACAGTTGGGACAGGTGGCACACCTGGGGGCAGGGGACACACCTGGGGACAGGTGACACAGCTGGGGGGACAACTGGGACAGGTGACACAAATGGGGACACACCTGACCCAGGTAACACTTGAGGTGCATGTGAGACACCTGGGACAGGTGACACAGCTGGGGGGACAACAGCTGGGACAGGTGACACAAACTGGGGAAAAACCTGGGACAGGTGACACACCTGGGACAGGTAACACACCTGGGACAGGTGACACATTTGGGGGCAGGTGACACACCTATGTGGACAGGTGAGTCCCAGGTGCCAACCACACCTGTCCCAGGGGGGTCTCACCTGGTGCAGATGCCACCGTGGCCTGGCAGGTGTCACACCTGTGCCCCCCTCCCAACCCCAGCCCTGTCCCTGTCCCAGGTGAGTCCCAGGTGCCAACCACACCTGTGCAGGTGTCACACCTGTCCCCCAGCCCTGTCCCTGTCCCAGGTGAGTCCCAGGTGCCAATCACACCTGTGCAGGTGTCACACCTGTCCCCCAGCCCTGTCCCTGTCCCAGGTGAGTCCCAGGTGCCAATCACACCTGTGCAGGTGTCACACCTGTCCTCCAGCCCTGTCCCTGTCCCAGGTGAGTCCCAGGTGCCAATCACACCTGTGCAGGTGTCACACCTGTCCCCCAGCCCTGTCCCTGCCCCAGGGGGTCAATCACACCTGTGCAGGTGTCACACCTGTCCCCCAGCCCTGTCCCTGTCCCAGGTGAGTCCCAGGTGCCATTGACACCTGTGCAGGTGTCACACCTGTCCCCCAGCCCTGTCCCTGTCCCAGGGGGTCAATCACACCTGTGCAGGTGTCACACCTGTCCCCCAGCCCTGTCCCTGTCCCAGGTGAGTCCCAGGTGCCAATCACACCTGTGCAGGTGTCTCACCTGTCCCCCAGCCCTGTCCCTGCCCCAGGGGGTCAATCACACCTGTGCAGGTGTCACACCTGTCCCCCAGCCCTGTCCCTGCCCCAGGTGAGTCCCAGGTGCCATTGACACCTGTGCAGGTGTCTCACCTGTCCCCCAGCCCTGTCCCTGCCCCAGGGGGTCAATCACACCTGTGCAGGTGTCACACCTGTCCCCCAGCCCTGTCCCTGTCCCAGGTGAGTCCCAGGTGCCAATCACACCTGTGCAGGTGTCTCACCTGTCCCCCAGCCCTGTCCCTGCCCCAGGGGGTCAATCACACCTGTGCCCAGGTGTCATCACCTGTCCCCAGGTCCTGTCACCTGCCCCAGGGTGTCTCACCTGTCCCAGGGGGTCTCACCTGTCCCCCAGCTGTGTCACCTGCCCCAGGTGTCAATCACACCTGTCGCAGGTGTCACACCTGTCCCCTAGCCCTGTCCCTGCCCCCAGGGGGTCAATCACACCTGCAGGTGTCACACCTGTCCCCAGCCGTGTCCCTGTCCCAGGTGAGTCCCAGGTGCCATTGACACCTGTGCAGGTGTCTCACCTGTCCCCCAGCCCTGTCCCTGCCCCAGGGGGGTCTCACCTGTCCCAGGGGGGTCTCACCTGTCCCCCAGCCCTGTCCCTGTCCCAGGGGGTCAATCACACCTGTGCAGGTGTCACACCTGTCCCCCAGCCCTGTCCCTGCCCCAGGGGGGTCTCACCTGCCCCAGGGGGGTCTCACCTGTCCCCCAGCCCTGTCCCTGTCCCAGGTGAGTCCCAGGTGCCATTGACACCTGTGCAGGTGTCACACCTGTCCCCCAGCCCTGTCCCTGTGCCAGGTGAGTCCCAGGTGCCAACCACACCTGTCCCCCAGCCCTGTCCCTGCCCCAGGGGGGTCCCAGGTGAGTCCCAGGTGCCAACCACACCTGTCCCTGCCCCAGGTCAGTCCCAGGTGCCAACCACACCTGTGCAGGTGTCACACCTGTCCTCCAGCCCTGTCCCTGCCCCAGGGGGGTCTCACCTGTCCCAGGGGGTCATTCACACCTGTGCAGGTGTCACACCTGTCCCCTAGCCCTGTCCCTGCCCCAGGGGGGTCTCACCTGTCCCCCAGCCCTGTCCCTGCCCCAGGGGGGTCTCACCTGTCCCAGGGGGGTCACACCTGTCCCAGGGGGGTCTCACCTGTCCCCCAGGCCTGTCCCTGTCCCAGGGGGGTCTCACCTGCCCCAGGGGGGTCTCACCTGTCCAGGGGTCTCACCTGGTGCAGGTGCCGTCCAGGAGGAAGAAGCCAGGCCAGCAGGTGTCACACCTGTCCCCCAGCCCTGTCCCTACCCCAGGGGGGTCTCACCTGTCCCAGGGGGGTCTCACCTGGTGCAGGTGCCGTCCAGGAGGAAGAAGCCAGGCCAGCAGGTGTCACACCTGTCCCCCAGCCCTGTCCCTGCCCCAGGGGGTCTCACCTGTCCCAGGGGGGTCTCACCTGGTGCAGGTGCCATCCAGGAGGAAGAAGCCAGGCCAGCAGGTGTCACACCTGTCCCCCAGCCCTGTCCCTGTCCCAGGGGGGTCTCACCTGCCCCAGGGGGGTCTCACCTGTCCCAGGGGGGTCTCACCTGTCCCAGGGGGTCATTCACACCTGTGCAGGTGTCACACCTGTCCCCCAGCCCTGTCCCTGCCCCAGGGGGGTCTCACCTGTCCCCCAGGCCTGTCCCTGCCCCAGGGGGGTCTCACCTGTGCAGGGGGGTCTCACCTGGTGCAGGTGCCATCCAGGAGGAAGAAGCCAGGCCGGCAGGTGTCACACCTGTCCCCCAACCCTGTCCCTGCCCCAGGGGGGTCTCACCTGTGCCAGGGGGGTCTCACCTGGTGCAGGTGCCGTCCAGGAGGAAGAAGCCAGGCCGGCAGGTGTCACACCTGTCCCCCAGGCCTGTTCCTGCCCCAGGGGGGTCTCACCTGCCCCAGGGGGGTCTCACCTGTCCCAGGGGGGTCTCACCTGGTGCAGGTGCCATCCAGGAGGAAGAAGCCGGGCCTGCAGGTGTCACACCTGTCCCCCAGCCCTGTCCCTGCCCCAGGGGGGTCTCACCTGTGCCAGGGGGGTCTCACCTGCCCCAGGGGGGTCTCACCTGTGCCAGGGGGGTCTCACTTGGTGCAGGTGCCGTCCAGGAGGAAGAAGCCGGGCCGGCAGGTGTCACACCTGTCCCCCAGGCCTGTCCCAGTCCCAGGTGAGTCCCAGGTGCCATTGACACCTGTGCAGGTGTCACACCTGTCCCCCAGCCCTGTCCCTGCCCCAGGGGGGTCTCACCTGTCCCAGGGGGGTCTCACCTGGTGCAGGTGCCATCCAGGAGGAAGAAGCCAGGCCTGCAGGTGTCACACCTGTCCCCCAGCCCTGTCCCTGCCCCAGGGGGGTCTCACCTGTCCCAGGGGGGTCTCACCTGTCCCAGGGGGGTCTCACCTGGTGCAGGTGCCGTCCAGGAGGAAGAAGCCGGGCCGGCAGGTGTCACACCTGTCCCCCAGCCCTGTCCCTGCCCCAGGGGGGTCTCACCTGTCCCAGGGGGGTCTCACCTGTCCCAGGGGGGTCTCACCTGGTGCAGGTGCCATCCAGGAGGAAGAAGCCAGGCCGGCAGGTGTCACACCTGTCCCCCAGGCCTGTCCCTGCCCCAGGGGGGTCTCACCTGTCCCAGGGGGGTCTCACCTGGTGCAGGTGCCATCGAGGAGGAAGAAGCCAGGCCGGCAGGTGTCACACCTGTCCCCCAGGCTGTTGTTCCCGCAGTTCACGCAGACGGCGTCGGCCTCGCTCGGCCCCTCCGTCACCCAGGTGTGGATCTGGAGGTGGGGGAGGGGACAGGTGAGGTGGGGACAGGTGTGTCCCCACCCCCCCCCTCCCCCTCCAAATGCAGGTGTGTTCCCCCATCCAGGTGTGTCCTCCCCATCCAGGTGTGTCCCATCCAGGTGTGTCCCCCTCAGGTCTTTTCCCCCTAAATCCAGGTGTGTGTCCCCCAAATCCAGGTGTGTCCTATCCAGGTGTGTCCCATCCAGGTGTGTCCCACCCAGGTGTCCCCCCATCCAGGTGTGTCCCCACCACCCAAATCCAGGTGTGTCCCCCCCCAAATCCAGGCGTGTTTCCCTCCAAATCCAGGTGTGTCCCATCCAGGTGTGTCCCCCAAATCCAGGTGTGTCCCCCCCAAATCCAGGTGTGTTTCCCCCAAATCTAGGTGTGTCCCCCCCTCCCAAATCCAGGTGTGTCCCCCCAAATCCAGGTGCCCCTCACCAGGTGTGTCCCCCACACCCCCAAATCCAGGTGCATCCCACCCAGGTGTGTCCCCCACCCCCAAGTCAGGTGTCCCCCAGGTGTGTCCCATCCAGGTGTGTCCCATCCAGGTGTGTGTCCCCCAAATCCAGGTGTGTCCCATCCAGGTGACCCCCACCCAGGTGTGTCCCCCAAAATCCAGGTGTGTCCCCCAAATCCAGGTGTGTCCCATCCAGGTGTGTCCCATCCAGGTGTCCCCCCACAAATCCAGGTGTGTCCCCTCCAAGTCCAGGTGTGTCCCCCCAAATCCAGGTGTGTCCCCATCACCCAATCCAGGTGTGTCCCATCCAGGTGTGTCCCTCCCCCAAGTCCAGGTGTGTCCCAGTCCCCAAATCCAGGTGTGTCCTCCCAAATCCAGGTGTGTCCCCAAATCCAGGTGTGTCCCCTCCAGGTGACCCCACCCAGGTATGTCCCCCCAAATCCAGATGTGTCCCCCTAAATCCAGGTGTGTCCCATCCAGGTGTGTCCCCCCAAATCCAGGTGTGTCCCATCCAGGTGTGTCCCCCAAATCTAGGTGTGTCCCCCAAATCCAGGTGTGTCCCCTCCCAAATCCAGGTGTTTCCCCCCTCCAGGTGTGCCCCCAAATCCAGGTGACCCCACCCAGGTGTCCCCCCAAATCCAGGTGTGCCCCCTCACCAGGTGCGGCTCCAGGGGTACCTCAGGAGTCCCTCTGGGCTCCCCATCCCCAGGTGTGTCCCATCCAGGTGTGTCCCACCCAGGTGTCCCCCATCCAGGTGTGTCCCCACCACCCAAATCCAGGTGTGTCCCCCAAATCCAGGCGTGTTTCCTCCAAATCCAGGTGTGTCCCATCCAGGTGTGTCCCCCAAATCCAGGTGTGTCCCCCAAATCCAGGTGTGTTTCCCAAATCTAGGTGTGTCCCCCCCTCCCAAATCCAGGTGTGTCCCATCCAGGTGTGTGCCCCACACCCCCAAATCCAGGTGTGTCCCATCCAGGTGTATCCCCCAAATCCAGGTGTGTCCCCCTCCCAAATCCAGGTGTTTCCCCCTCCCTCCAGGTGTGCCCCCAAATCCAGTTGTGTCCCATCCAGGTGTGTCCCCCAATCCAGGTGTGTCCCCCTCACCAGGTGCGGCTCAGGGGGTACCTCAGGGGTCCCTCCTGGCCTTCTCCAGGTCCCTCCGTGCCAGGCACACCTGGGCGTGGCCCCCGCAGAAGGAGCTGCAGGCCCGGCAGGTGCCCCCAGGGCCGAGCCCACGAACAGGGCGGCACCGCTCGCACTGCGGGCCCTGCACAGGTAAATGGGGACAGGTGAGGTCAGGTGAGGTCACAGGAACACCCCCAGGTGACCCCCAGGTGACCCCCAGGTGTGTCCCCCCCCAGGGCCGAGCCCACGAACAGGGGGCGGCACCGCTTGCACTGCGGGCCCTGAACAGGTAAATGGGGACAGGTGGGGACAGGTGAGGTCACAGGAACACCCCCAGGTGACCCCCAGGTGTGTCCCCCAGGGCCGAGCCCACGAACAGGGGCGCACCGCTGCGCGGGCCCTGCGCAGGTAAATGGGGACAGGTGAGGTCAGGTGAGGTCACAGGAACACCCCAGGTGACCCCCAGGTGTGTCCGGGCTCAGGAACCCCCAGGTGTCCCTCAGGTAAATGGGGACAGGTGAGGTCACAGGAACACCCCCCAGGTGACCCCCAGGTGTGTCTGGGCTCAGGAACCCCCCCAGGTGTCCCTCAGGTAAATGGGGACAGGTGAGGTCACAGGAACACCCCCCAGGTGACCCTCAGGTAAATGGGGACAGGTGAGGTCACAGGAACCCCCCCAGGTGTCCCTCAGGTAAATGGGGACAGGTGAGGTCACAGGAACCCCCTCAGGTGACCCCCAGGTGTGTCTGGGCTCAGGAACCCCCCCAGGTGTCCCTCAGGTAAATGGGGACAGGTGAGGTCACAGGAACCCCCCCAGGTGACCCCCAGGTGTGTCCCCACCCCCAAGCCCCTCCCAGTCCCACCCAGTCCTTCCCAGCTCCACCCTTGACCACACCTGAGCTCACCTGAGCCCACCTGACCTTACCTGCCCACACCTGGGCACACCTGAGCTCACCTGGGCACACCTGAATGCCAACCCAACCAGGTGTGCTGGGACCCCCAAACCCCTCCCAGTCCCTCCCAGCCCCTCCCTTGACCACACCTGGGCACACCTGAGTACCTGACCCCACACCTGGGCACACCTGAGCTCACCTGCCCCACACCTGGGCACATCTGAGCTCACCTGGGCACACCTGGATGTTGCCATGACAACCCAACCAGGTGTGCTGGGACCCCTCAAACCCCTCCCAGTCCCTCACCCTAAGTCCCACCCTGGGCACACCTGACCTCACCTACCGCACACCTGAGTTCCCCAACCTCACCTGGGCACACCTGAGCTCATCCCATTCAGATGTGCTGGGACCATCCCTCCAAACCCCTCCCAGCCCCTCCCTGAGCTCCACCTGGGCACACCTGAGCCTCACCTGGGCCCACCTGCCCCCCACCTGGGCACACCTGAGCCTCACCTGTCCCACACCTGAGCCCACCTGGGCACACCTGAACCAACCCAGCCAGGTGTGCTGGGACCCTCCAAACCCCTCCCAGTCCCACCCTAGTCCCTCCTTGACCACACCTGAGCTCACCTGAGCACACCTGAGGTCCACCCAACCTCACCTGAGCTCACCCCAGCCTGACCTGGGCACACCTGAACCTCCACCTGGGCACACCTGACCTTACCTACCCCACACCTGAGCTCACCTGGGCACACCTGAGCTCCCACAGCCTCACACCTGGGCACACCTGAACCAACCCAACCAGGTGTGCTGGGACCCCAAACCTCCCAGTCCCGCCAGTGCCTCTCCTCGAGCCACACCTGGGCACACCTGAGCTCACCTGAGCACCACCTGAGCCCACCTGGGCACACCTGACCTTACCTGCCCTACACCTGGCACACCTACCCACCTGGGCACACCTGAACCAACCCAACCAGGTGTGCTGGACCCTCCCAAACCCCTCCCAGTCCCATCCCAGTCCCTCCCAACCCCACCTGGGCTACACCTGAGCTCACCTGGGCATCACCTGAACTATCCCATCCAGGTGTGCTGGGACTCCCAAACTCCTCCCAGCCCCCCCAGTCCCTCCTGACCACACCTGGGCACACCTGAGCTCACCTGGGCACACCTGACCTTACCTACCCGCACCTCACACCTGGGCACACCTGAACCATCCCATTCAGGTGTGCTGGGACCCCAAACCCCTCCCAGTCCCACCCAGACCCTCCCAACCCCTCCTTGACCACACCTGAGGTCACCTGAGCTCACCTGGGCACACCTGACCTACCTGCCCCACACCTGGGCACACCTGAGCTCACCTGGGCACACCTGAACCAACCCATCCAGCTGTGCTGGACCCCCAAACCCCTCCCACCCCCTCCCCAACCCCTCCCCCAATCCCCTCTCTCCTCCCCAGGCTGTCTCACCTGGGTGTTGTTGTGGCACCTGAGGCAGGTGCGTGGGCGGGCGGGGCCGGCGCAGTCGCTGTGGCCGTTGCAGGCGCAGGGCACGGCGCAGGTGGGGCCCACGAGGCGAAGGGGCACCTGCAGCGCCCGGGGGCCACGCAGGTGCCGTTGGAGCAGCCCCCGCCGCACACCGGGCGGCACTCACCTGTGGAGCTGGGGGGGGGGGAGGCACACCTGTCACACCTGGGCGCACCTGGGTGGCATCTGGGTGTGATATCACACACCTGGGATACACCTGGGCACACCTGGGGTTGATATCACACACTTGGGCACACCTGAGTGACACCTGGGTACACCTGGGACACACCTGGGCACACCTGGGGTTGGTGGGACACACCTGGGGCACACCTGAGTGACACCTGGGGTTGATATCACACACCTGGGGCTGATATCACACACCTGGGCACACCTGGGCACACCTGGGTGACACCTGGGGGTGATATCACACATCTGGGGCACACCTGGGCACACCTGAGTGACACCTGAATTACTCCTGGGCACACTTGGGTGACACCTGAGAACACCTGGGCACACCTGGGATGCATCTGAGTGACACCTGGGCACACCTGGGTGATACCTGGGGTTGATATCACACACCTGGGGCACAACTGAGCACACCTGGGACACACCTGGGGCACACCTGGGGTTGATATCACACACCTGGGCACACCTGGGGTTGATATCACACACTTGGGCACACCTGGGTGGCACCTGGGGCTGATATCACACACCTGGGGCACACCTGGGCACACCTGAGTGACACCTGAGTCACACCTGGGTGGCACCTGGGGCTGATATCACACACCTGGGGCACACCTGGGCACACCTGAGTGACACCTGAGAACACCTGAGTGACACCTGAGTGACACCTGAGAACACCTGGGCACACCTGGCACACCTGGGTACACCTGAGGGTGATATCACACACCTGGGACACACCTGGGCACACCTGAGTGACAGCTGGCACAACTGGGGCTGATTTCAGACACCTGGGCACACCTGGGGGTGATATCACACACCTGGGCACACCTGAGTGACACCTGAGTCACACCTGAGCACACCTGGGTACACCTGTCGGGGGGGTCCCTCACCTGTCAGGTGTGTCCCTGCCCCCCCAGGTGCCCCCCAGGTGTGTCCCTGTCCCCCAGGTGTCCTGCCCCCAGGTGCCTCCCAGGTGTCCCTGTCCCAGGTGTGTCCCTGCCCCCAGGTGCCCCCCCAGGTGCCCCCCTCACCTGTCAGGGCGTATCCCTCCCTGCAGGTGCAGGTGAAGCCCCGGGAGGTCCCTGCACACCTGCCAGGTGTGTCCCTGTCCCCCAGGTGTGTCCCTGCCCCCAGGTGCCCCCAGGTGTGTCCTGCCCCCAGGTGCCCCCCCAGGTGTGTCCCCTGTCCCCCAGGTGTGTCCCTGCCCTCCCAGGTGTGTCCCTGTCCCCCAGGTGTGTCCCTGCCCCGCAGGTGCCCCCAGGTGTGTCCCTGCCCTCCAGGTGTGTCCCTCACCCCCCAGGTGTCCCCCCCAGGTGTGTCCCTGTCCCCCAGGTGTGTCCCTGTCCCCCAGGTGCCCCCCAGGTGTGTCCTGTCCCCCCAGGTGTGTCCCGTGCTCCCCAGGTGTCCCTGCCCCCAGGTGTCCCCCAGGTGTCCGCCCCCAGGTGTGTCCCTGTCCCCCAGGTGTGTCCCTGTCCCCCCCAGGTGTGTCCCTGTCCCCCCAGGTGTGTCCCCCCCAGGTGTGTCCCTGTCCCCCAGGTGTGTCCCTGTCCCCCAGGTGTGTCCTGTCCCCCAGGTGTCCCCCAGGTGTGTCCTGTCCCCCAGGTGTCTCCTGTGCCCCCAGGTGTGTCCCTGTCCCCCAGGTGCTCCCAGGTGTGTCCCCTCCCCCAGGTGTGTCCCTGTCCCCCAGGTGTGTCCCTGTCCCCCCAGGTGTGTCCCTGTCCCCAGGTGTGTCCCTGTCCCCCAGGTGTCCCCCCAGGTGTCCCTGTCCCCAGGTGGTCCCTGTCCCCCAGGTGCCCCCCAGGTGTGTCCTTCCCCCAGGTGTCCCCTGCTCCCCCAGGTGTGTCCTGTCCCCCAGGTGTCCCTTCCCCCAGGTGTGTCCCTGTCCCCCAGGTGTGTCCCTGTCCCCAGGTGCCCCCAGGTGTGTCCCTGTCCCCCAGGTGCCCCCAGGTGCCCCCCTCACCTGTCAGGGGCGTATCCCTCCCTGCAGGTGCAGGTGAAGCCCCGGGGGAGGTCCCTGCACACCTGCCAGGTGTGTCCCTGTCCCCCCCAGGTGTGTCCCTGTCCCCCCCAGGTGTGTCCCTGTCCCCCCAGGTGCCCCCCCAGGTGTGTCCCTGCCCCCCCAGGTGCCCCCCTCACCTGTCAGGGGCGTACCCCTCCCTGCAGGTGCAGGTGAAGCCCCGGGGGAGGTCCCTGCACACCTGGCTGGGCCCGCAGGTGTGGTGCCCGTTGGCGCACTCGTCCTCCGGGGGGCACGACAGGTACGACCACAGCCCCCCCTCGCAGCTCTCAGGACCACCTGGATAGCCAAAAATATCCCAAAATCTACCTGGGAGCCCAAAAAATCGACCTGGGACCCCAAAAACACACCTGGGAGCCCAAAATAACCCAAAACCCCCACAAAAAACGCACCTGGGAACCCAAAAACCACACCTGGGACCCCCTCAGGTACGACCACAGCCCCCCCCTCGCAGCTCTCAGGACCACCTGGGGACCCCAAAAACGCACCTGAGACCCCCAAAAATCACCTGGACACCCAAAAATCCACCTGGAAACCCAAAATACCCCAAAAAAATGCACCTGGGACTCAAAAATCCACCTGGGACCCCAAAATACCCCAAAAAAACCCACAAAAAACACACCTGGGACCCCAAAAATGCACCTGAGACCCCCAAAAACACACCTGGAAACCCAAAATATCCCCCAAAACCACACCTGGGACCCCCCCAGGTACGACCACAGCCCCCCCTCGCAGCTCTCAGGACCACCTGGGGACCCCAAAAACACACCTGAGACCCCCAAAAATCACCTGGACACCCAAAAAACACACCTGGGACCCAAAATACCCCCAAAAAATGCACCTGGGACCCAAAAAAACGCACCTGGGACCCCCCAAAAACCACACCTGGGACCCCCCCAGGTACGACCACAGCCCCCCCTCGCAGCTCTCAGGACCACCTGGATAGCCAAAAATATCCCAAAATCTACCTGGGAGCCCAAAAATCCACCTGGGAACCCAAAAATCCACCTGGAAACCCAAAATACCCCCAAAAAACACACCTGGGACCCCAAAAATCCACCTGAGAGCCCCAAAATACCCCCAAAAACCACAACTGGACACCCAAAATATCCCCCAAAACCACACCTGGGACCCCCCAGAACACACCTGGACACACCTGGGGACCCCAAAAATGCACCTGAGACCCCCAAAATACCCCCAAAAATCCACCTGGACACACCTGGGACCCAAAAAAATGCACCTGGGAACCCAAAAATCCACCTGGGACCCCCCAGAATACACCTGGGACCCCCCCAGGTACGACCACAGCCCCCCCTCGCAGCTCTCAGGACCACCTGGGGACCCCAAAAACGCACCTGAGACCCCCAAAAAACACCTGGACACACCTGGGACCCCAAAAAAATACACCTGGGACCCAAAAATCCACCTGGAAACCCAAAATACCCCCAAAAAACACACCTGGAAACCCAAAATATCCCCCAAAAACACACCTGGGACCCCCCAGAACACACCTGGACACACCTGGGACCCAAAAAATGCACCTGAGACCCCCAGAAAACACCTGGGAACCCAAAAATCCACCTGGGAACCCAAAATACCCCAAAAATCCCCACCTGGGACCCCAAAAACCACACCTGGGACCCCCCCAGGTACGACCACAGCCCCCCCTCGCAGCTCTCAGGACCACCTGGGGACCCCAAAAACGCACCTGGGACCCCCAAAAATCACCTGGGAGCCCAAAAATCCACCTGGGACCCCCCAGAACACACCTGGGGACCCCAAAAATCCACCTGGAAACCCAAAATACCCCCAAAAAACACACCTGGAAACCCAAAATATCCCCCAAAACCACACCTGGGACCCCCCCAGGTACGACCACAGCCCCCCCTCGCAGCTCTCAGGACCACCTGGGGACCCCAAAAATGCACCTGAGACCCCCAGAATGCACCTGGGACCCCCAGAATGCACCTGGGACCCCCAGAACACACCTGGACACACCTGGGACCCAAAAAAACCCCAAAAACCACACCTGGAAACCCAAAATACCCAAAAAACACACCTGGGACCCAAAAAAAAGCACCCGGGACCCCAAAAATCCACCTGAGAGCCCCAAAATACCCACAAAACACCCACAAAAACCACACCTGGGACCCCCCCAGAACACACCTGGACACACCTGGGGACCCCAAAAATGCACCTGAGACCCCCAAAATACCCCCAAAAATCCACCTGGACACACCTGGGACCCAAAAAAATGCACCTGGGAACCCAAAAATCCACCTGGGAACCCAAAAATCCACCTGGGGACCCCAAAAATCCACCTGAGACCCCCCAGAACACACCTGGGACCCCCCCCAGGTACGACCACAGCCCCCCCTCGCAGCTCTCAGGACCATCTGGATAGCCAAAAATATCCCAAAATCTACCTGGGAGCCCAGAAATCCACCTGGGGACCCCAAAAAACACCTGGAAACCCAAAATACCCCCCCAAAACACACCTGGACACCCAAAATACCCCCAAAAACCACACCTGGGACCTCCCCGAACACACCTGGACACACCTGGGGACCCCAAAAATGCACCTGAGACCCCCAAAAATCACCTGGGAACCCAAAAATCCACCTGAGACCCCTCAGAACACACCTGGGGACCCCAAAAATCCACCTGGAAACCCAAAATACCCCCAAAAAACACACCTGGAAACCCAAAATACCCCCCAAAAACCACACCTGGGACCCCAAAAATCCACCTGGGGACCCCAAAAATCCACCTGAGACCCCCCCAAAATCCACCTGGGACCCCCCAGAACACACCTGGGGACCCCAAAAATCCACCTGGAAACCCAAAATATCCCCAAAAAACACACCTGGAAACCCAAAATATCCCCCAAAAATCACACCTGGGACCCCCCCAGGTACGACCACAGCCCCCCCTCGCAGCTCTCCAGACCACCTGGGGACCCCAAAAATGCACCTGAGACCCCCAAAAAACACCTGGGACCCCCAGAACACACCTGGACACACCTGGGACCCAAAATACCCCCCAAAAACCACACCTGGGACCCCAAAAATCCACCTGGGGACCCCAAAAATCCACCTGAGACCCCCCCAAAATCCACCTGGGACCCCCAGAATGCACCTGGAACCACCTGGGACCCCAAAAATCCACCTGGAAACCCAAAATACCCCCAAAAAACACACCTGGAAGCCCAAAATACCCCCCAAAACCACACCTGGGACCCCCCCAGGTACGACCACAGCCCCCCCTCGCAGCTCTCAGGACCACCTGGGGACCCCAAAAATGCACCTGAGACCCCCAAAAATCACCTGGGGACCCCAAAAACACACCTGGAAACCCAAAATACCCCAAAAAAATGCACGTGGGACCCCAAAAATCCACCTGGGACCCCCCAGAACACACCTGGGACCCCCCCAGGTACGACCACAGCCCCCCCTCGCAGCTCTCAGGACCACCTGGGGACCCCAGAAATGCACCTGAGACCCCCAAAAATCACCTGGGAGCCCAAAAATCCACCTGAGACCCCCCAGAACACACCTGGGGACCCCAAAAATCCACCTGGAAACCCAAAATACCCCCAAAAAACACACCTGGAAACCCAAAATATCCCCCAAAAACACACCTGGGACCCCCCAGAACACACCTGGACACACCTGGGGACCCCAAAAATGCACCTGAGACCCCCAAAAAACACCTGGGAACCCAAAAATCCACCTGGGAGTCCAAAATACCCCCCCAAAAAAAGTACCTGGGACCCCAAAAATGCACCTGGGACCCCCCAGAACACACCTGGGACCCCCCCAGGTACGACCACAGCCCCCCCTCGCAGCTCTCTGACCCACCTGGGGACCCCAAAAATGCACCTGAGACCCCCAGAATGCACCTGGGAACCCAAAAATGCACCTGGGACCCCCCCCAGGTACGACCACAGCCCCCCCTCGCAGCTCTCTGACCCACCTGGATAGCCAAAAATGCACCTGAGACCCCCAAAAACACACCTGGGACCCAAAAAAACACCTGGGAGCCCAAAATACCCCCCAAAAAACACACCTGGGACCCCAAAAATCCACCTGGGATCCCCCAGAACACACCTGGGGACCCCAAAAATCCACCTGGGACCCCCAGAACACACCTGGGACCCCAAAAATCCACCTGGAAACCCAAAATACCCCCAAAAAACACACCTGGAAACCCAAAATATCCCCCAAAAAACACACTTGGGACCCCAAAAATCCACCTGGGGACCCCAAAAATCCACCTGAGACCCCCCCAAAATCCACCTGGGACGCCCAGAATGCACCTGGAACCACCTGGGACCCCAAAAACACACCTGGAAACCCAAAATACCCCCAAAAACACACCTAGGACCCCCCAGAACACACCTGGACACACCTGGGGACCCCAAAAATGCACCTGAGACCCCCAAAATACCCCCAAAAATCCACCTGGACACACCTGGGACCCAAAAAAATGCACCTGGGACCCAAAAATCCACCTGAGAGCCCCAAAATACCCCCCAAAAATCACACCTGGGACCCCCAGAGTACGACCACAACCCCCTCGCAGCTCTCAGGACCACCTGGGGACCCCAAAAATGCACCTGAGACCCCCAGAACACACCTGGGAACCCAAAAATCCACCTGGGAACCCAAAATACCCCAAAAAACACACCTGGAAACCCAAAATACCCCCCAAAAAACACACCTGGAAACCCAAAATATCCCCCAAAAATCACACCTGGGACCCCCCCAGGTACGACCACAGCCCCCCCTCGCAGCTCTCAGGACCACCTGGGGACCCCAAAAATGCACCTGAGACCCCCAAAAAGCACCTGGGGACCCCAAAAAATGCACCTGGGACCCCAAAACCACACCTGGAAACCCAAAATATCCCCCAAAAACCATACCTGGGACCCCCCAGAACACACCTGGACACACCTGGGGACCCCAAAAATGCACCTGAGACCCCCAAAATACCCCCAAAAATCCACCTGGACACACCTGAGACCCCCAGAATGCACCTGGGAACCCAAAAATCCACCTGGGAGCCCCAAAATACCCCCCAAAAACCACACCTGGACACCCAAAAACACACCTGGGACCCCAAAATACCCCCAAAAACACACCTAGGACCCCCCAGAACACACCTGGACACACCTGGGGACCCCAAAAATGCACCTGAGACCCCCAAAAAACACCTGGGAACCCAAAAATCCACCTGGGAACCCAAAATACCCCAAAAACCACACCTGGACACCCAAAATATCCCCCAAAAACACACCTGGGACCCCCCCAAACACACCTGGACACACCTGGGGACCCCAAAAATGCACCTGAGACCCCCAAAAAACACCTGGACACACCTGGGACCCAAAAAACCCCCCTGAAAACACACCTGGGACCCCCAAAATACCCAAAAACCACATCTGGAACCCCCCAGAACACACCTGGGAGCCCCAAAAATTCCCCAAATCCCCCCATAACCCCCCCAAATCCCCCATAACCCCCAAATCCCCCATAACCCCCCCAAACCAAGACCCTCTGACCCCCAAATCCCCCAAACGCCCCATAACCCCCAAATCCCCCATTACCCCCAAATCTCCCCAAATCCCCCCAAACCAAGACCCCCGACCCCTAAGACCCCAAATCCACCCCAAATCCCCCATAACCCCCAAATCCCCATAACCCCCAAACCAAGACCCCGACCCCCTAAGACCCCCAAATCCCCAAAACCCCCATTATCCCCCAAATCCCCCATAACCCCCAAATCCCCCCATTACCCCCAAATCCCCCATAACCCCCAAACCAAGACCCCCGACTCCCCCAAGACCCCTGACCTCTACCTTCTGAGGGCCCCTTGATCCCCCTGCAGGCAGGACCCCCGATCTGCCCGGGTGGGACACCAAACCCCCATAACCCCCATAACCCCCAAATCCCCTAAACCCCCAAACCGCCCCTATAACCCCCAAATCCCCCATAGACCCATTCCTGAGACCCCATTACCCCCCAAATCCCCATTAACCCCCCAAATCCCCATTAACCCCCAAATCCCCCATTAACCCCCCAAATCCCCATAACCCCCAAATCCCCATAACCCCCAAATCCCCCAAATCCCCCAAATCCCCCATAACCCCCAAATCCCCCAAATCCCCCATAAACCCCCAAATCCCCCATTACCCCCAAATCTCCCCATAGACCCATTCTGAGACCCCCAAATCCCCCAAATCCCCCACAACCCCCAAATCCCCCATAACCCCCCAAATCCCTCCATAACCCCCAAATCCCTCTCACCTTCTGAGGGTCCTTGATCCCCCTGCAGGCAGGACCCCCATCCTGGCCGGGGTGGGAGCACCAAACCCCCATAACCCCCAAATCCCCCATAACCCCCAAATCCCCCAGGGACCCCAATACCCATTCTAGACCCCCCATAACCACCCTAAATCCCCCAAATCCCCCAAATCCCCCATAACCCCCCAAATCCCCCATAACCCCCAAATCCCCCATAGACCCATTCTGAGACCCCAAATCCCCCATAACCCCCCAAATCCCCCATAACGCCCCCAAACCAAGACCCCCGACCCCCAAATCCCCCATAACCCCCCAAATCCCCTCAAACTCCCCCAAATCCCCCATAACCCCCAAACCAAGACCCCCGACTCCCCCAAGACCCCTATTTACCTACCTCTGAGGGTCCCATGATCCCCCCTGCAGGCAGGACCCCCATCCTGGCCGGGGTGGGAGCACCAAACCCCCATAACCCCCAAATCCCCCAAATCCTCCAAACTCCCCCATAACCCCCAAATCCCCCATAGACCCATTCTGAGACCCCAAATCCCCCAAATCCCCCATAACCCCCAAATCCCCCATAACCCCCCAAATCCCCCATAGACCCATTCTGAGACCCCAAATCCCCCAAATCCCCCATAACCCCCTCAAATCCCCCATAACCCCCCCAAACCAAGACCCTCTGACCCCCAAGTCCCCCATAACCCCCAAATCCTCCAAACTCCCCAAACCCCCCAAATCCCTCCATAACCCCCAAATCCCCCTTACCTTCTGAGGGCCCTTGATCCCCCTGCAGGCAGGACCCCCCATCCTGGCCGGGTGGGAGCACCAAACCCCCATAACCCCCAAATCCCCCAAATCCCCCATAGACCCATTCTGAGACCCCAAATCCCCCAAATCCCCCAAATCCTCCAAATCCCCCAAATCCCCCATAACCCCCAAATCCCCCATAACCCCCAAATCCCCCATAACCCCCCAATCCCACTCCCTGACCCCCGGCTCCCAAATCCCCCTTACCTTCTGAGGGTCCCTTGATCCCCCCCTGCAGGCAGGACCCCCCCCCGTCCTGCCCCGGGTGGGAGCACCACCCGCAGCGGGGCCGGCGCAGGCACTGGGAGCACTGGGAGGCCCCCCCGCAGTCGGGGGGGCAGCGCTCGGACCCCCGGAGGAGCCGCCCGCAGCCCCCGGGCAGGCAGCGCAGGGGGACGAAGCTGGGGCTCAGGCACTGGGGAAAAAGGATAAAAAAAGGGGTTAAAGAGCCCCAAAAAACCCCAAAAATGCCCCAAAACCCGCCCCGAAAACCCCAAGATTGAGGGACCCCAAGAGTCCCAAAATGGCCCCAAAAGGACCCCAAAAACCCCCTCAGAGACCCCCTGAAATCCCCAAGATTGAGAGACCCCAAGAATCCCAAAAAGACCCCAAAAGGACCCCAAAAACCCACTCAGAGACCCCCAAATCCAACAGGAATCCAAGAAACCCAAATGATCCCAAAATGACCCCAAAAGGACCCCAAAAACCCACTCAGAGACCCCCAAAATCCCCAGGATTTACAGAGCCCAAAATGACCCCAAAACGACCCCAAAAATACCCCAGATCCAACAGGAATCAAAGAAACCCAAAATGACCCCAAAAGGACCCCAAAAAGCCCCCGGGCAGGCAGCGCAGGGGGATGAAGCTGGGGCTCAGGCACTGGGGAAAAGGATTAAAAACCAGGGGGTTAGGGACCCCCAAAAATTTAATCCGAATTAAATCCAAATTTAATTCAAATTAAATCCAAATTAATCCAAATTAAACCCCCCCAGGACCCAAAAAATCCCCAATAAATCCCAATTAAATCCAAATTAAATCCAAATTAAACCCCCCCAGGACCCAAAAAATCCCAAATAAATCCAAATTAATTCAAATTAAACGGAATTAAATCCCAATTTAATCCAAATTAAATCCAAATTAAATCCAAATTAAACCCCCCCAGGACCCAAAAAATCCCCAATAAATCCCAATTTAATTCAAATTAAATTCAAATTAATTCAAATTAAACTCAAATTGAGTCAAATTAATCCAAATTGAATCCAAATTAAATCCAAATTTAATCCGAATTAAATCCAAATTTAATCCGAATTTAACCCAAATTAATTCAAATAAAATCCAAATTAAATTAAAATTAAATTCAAATTAAATCCAAATTAAATTCACATTAAATTGAAATTAAATCCAAATAAAATCCCAATTTAATCCGAATTAAATCCAAATTTAATTCGAATTAAATTGAAATTAATCCAAATTAAATCCCAATTAATTCCAAATTAAATCCAAATTTAACCCCTCCAGTGCCTCACCTGGTGCAGTGCCGTGCTCCACTGGCAGTGCTGCCAGCACCCCAAACCCCTCCCAGGACCCAATAAATCCCAATTTAATCCAAATTAAATCCCAATTTAATCCAAATAAAATCCAAATAAATCCCAATTTAATCCAAATTAAATCCAAATTAAATTCAAATAAAATCCAAATTTAATTCGAATTAAATTCAAATAAAATCCAAATTAAATTCACATTAAATCCAAATTAAATTCAAATTAAATCCAAATTAAATCCAAATTTAATCCAAATTAAATCCGAATTAAATCCAAATTAAATCCAAATTAAATCCAAATTAAATCCAAATTAAATTCAAATTAAATTCACATTAGATTGAAATTAAATTCAAATCAAATTCAAATTAAATTCAGATTAAATTCAGATTAAATCCAAATAAAATCCCAATTTAATCCGAATTAAATTGAAATTAATCCGAATTAAATCCAAATTAAATCCAAATTAAATCCCAATTTAATCCGAATAAAATCCAAATTAAATCCAAATAAAATCCCCAATAAATCCAAATTAAATCCAAATTAAATCCGAATTAAATCCAAATTAAAATCAAATTAAACTCAAATTAAATCCAAATTAAACCCAAATTAATCCAACCCCATTTACCTGCTGCAGTGCCGTGCTCCACTGGCAGTGCTGCCAGCACCCCAAACCTCCCCAGGACCCAAAAAATCCCCAGTAAATCCCAATTTAATCCAAATTAAATCCCAATTTAATCCAAATTAAATCCAAATTAAATCCAAATTAAATTGAAATTAAATCCAAATTAATTTCAAATTAAATTCAATTTAATTTGAATTAAATCCAAATTAAGTCCAAATTAAATCCCAAATTAAATTCAAATTAAATCTGAATTTAATTCAAATTAAATCCGAATTAAATCCAAATTAAATCCAAATTAAATCCAAATTAAATCCAAATTAAATTCAAATTAAATCCAAATTTAATCCAAATTAAATCCCAAATTAAATTCAAATTAAATTCACATTAGATTGAAATTAAATTCAAATCAAATTCAAATTAAATTCAGATTAAATTCAGATTAAATCCACATAAAATCCAAATTAAATCCAAATTAAATTCAAATTAAATCCAAATTAAATCCAAATTAAATCCCAATTTAATCCAAATAAAATCCAAATAAATCCCAATTTAATCCAAATTAAATCCAAATTAAATCCCAATTTAATCGAATAAAATCCAAATAAAATCCCCAATAAATCCAAATAAAATCCAAATTAAATCCAAATTTAATCCGAATTAAATCCAAATTAAAATCAAATTAAATCTGAATTAAATCCAAATTAAACCCAAATTAATCCAACCCCATTTACCTGCTGCAGTGCCGTGCTCCACTGGCAGTGCTGCCACCCCCCGTCGGCTCCAGGTGAGCTCAGGCAGGCGAGGCAGGTGGGCTGCAGGTGGCAGGGGGAGGGGCAGGGCAGGGGCGGCGCCGACTCCACGGGCATGGGGGACACGTTGAGCAGGGAGTGGCTGAAGCACGTCCAGGCATAGCTCGGCTGCACGCTCAGGATGCGCCGCGTCTCACCTGGGCACAGGTGAGATGGCACAGGTCAGGTGGGCACAGGTGGGCACAGGTGAGGTGGGCACAGGTACGACAAGTGAGGTGGAACACTCCCAGTTGGGTCCTGGTGCTCCACAGAGGTCCCTACTGGTCCCTACTGGTGCCTACTGGACCCCCCAGCCCGTCTCACCTGGGCACAGGTGGGCACAGGTGGGCACAGGTAAGATGGGCACAGGTAAGATGGGACATGCCCAGTTTGGTTCCAGTGGTCCACAGGGGTCCCCAGTGGTCCCTACTGGTCCCCAGAGGTCCCACCTGGTTCCTACTGGACCCCCAGCCCGTCTCACCTGGGCACAGGTGGGCACAGGTGGGCACAGGTGAGGTGGCACAGGTCAGGTGGCACAGGTAAATGGGGAGAGAACCCCCCCAGTTTGGTCCCAGTGGTTCCTACTGGTCCACAGAGGTCCTAAGTGGTCCCCAAAAGCACCTGGGCACAGGTCAGGTTGTGCCAGGTCTCACCTGGGCACAGGTGGGCACAGGTAAGCTGGGACACGCCCAGTTTGGTTCCACTGGTTCCTACTGGTCCCTACTGGTTCCTACTGGTCCCTACAGGTTTCCAGAGGTCCTACCTGGTCCCCAGAAGTCCCACCTGGTCCCTACTGGTCCCCAAAAGCACCTGGGCACAGGTGAGGTGGCACAGGTGGGCACAGGTGGGCACAGGTGAGGTGGCACAGGTAAATGGGGAGGGAATGCTCCCAGTTTGGTCCCAGTGGTTCCTACTGGTTCCTATTGGTCCCTACAGGTCCTAAGTGGTCCCCAAAAGCACCTGGGCAAAGGTCAGGTCTCACCTGGGCACAGGTGGGCACAGGTGAGGTGGCACAGGTAAATGGGGAGGGAATGCTCCCAGTTGGGTTCCACTGGTTCCTACTGGTTTCCAGAGGTCCCACCTGGTGCCTATTGGTCCCTACTGGTCCCCAAAAGCACCTGGGCAAAGGTCAGGTTGTGCCAGGTCTCACCTGGGCACAGGTGGGCACAGGTGAGGTGGAACACTCCCAGTTGGGTCCTGGTGGTCCCTACTGGTTCCTACTGGTCCCTACTGGTTCCTATTGGTCCCTACTGGTCCCCAGAGGTCCCACCTGGTCCCTACTGGTCCCCAAAAGCACCTGGGCACAGGTGAGATGGCACAGGTGGGCACAGGTGGGCACAGGTGAGGTGGAACACTCCCAGTTGGGTCCTGGTGGTCCCAACTGGTCCCTACTGGTTCCTACTGGTCCCTACAGGTCATAAGTGGTCCCCAAAAGCACCTGAGCAAAGGTCAGGTCTCACCTGGGCACAGGTGGCACAGGTGGGCACAGGTGAGATGGGCACAGGTAAGATGGAACACTCCCAGTTGGGTCCTGGTGCTCCACAGGGGTCCCTACTGGTCCCTACTGGTCCCTACTGGTGCCTACTGGATCCCCCAGCCTGTCTCACCTGGGCACAGGTGGGCACAGGTGAGGTGGGCACAGGTAAGATGGGACATGCCCAGTTTGGTTCCAGAGGTCCCTACTGGTTCCTACTGGTTCCTAGTGGTCCCTACAGGTCCTAAGTGGTCCCCAAAAGCACCTGAGCACAGGTCAGGTTGTGCCAGGTCTCACCTGGGCACAGGTGGGCACAGGTAAGATGGAACACTCCCAGTTGGGTCCTGGTGGTCCCAACTGGTTCCTACTGGTTCGTATTGGTTCCTATTGGTCCCTACTGGTTCCTACTGGTTCCTACTGGTCCCTACTGGTCCCTACTGGTTCCTATTGGTCCCTACTGGTCCCCAAAAGCACCTGGGCACAGGTGAGGTGGGCACAGGTAAGATAGGATAGGTGGGCACAGGTGAGGTGGCACAGGGGGCACAGGTGGGACACGTTGAGCAGGGAGTGGCTGAAGCACGTCCAGGCGTAGCTCGGCTGCACGCTCAGGATGCGGCGCGTCTCACCTGGGCACAGGTGAGATGGCACAGGTGGGCACAGGTGGGCACAGGTGAGGTGGCACACGCCCAGTTTGGTTCCAGTGGTCCCTACTGGTCCCTATTGGTCCCTACTGGTCCCCAGAGGTCCCTACTGGTCCCCAAAAGCACCTGGGCACAGGTCAGGTTGTGCCAGGTCTCACCTGGGCACAGGTGGGCACAGGTGAGGTGGCACAGGTAAATGGGGAAGGAACGCTCCCAGTTTGGTTCCACTGGTGCCTACTGGTTCCTACTGGTTTCTATTGGTTCCTATTGGTTCCTACTGGTTTCTAGAGGTCCTAACTGGTGCCTACTGGATCCCCCAGCCTGTCTCACCTGGGCACAGGTGGGCACAGGTGAGGTAAGATGGCACAGGTAAGATGGGACATGCCCAGTTTGGTCCCTACTGGTTCCTACTGGTCCCTACTGGTTTCCAGAGGTCCCTATTGGTCCCTACTGGTCCCCAAAAGCACCTGAGCAAAGGTCAGGTTGTGCCAGGTCTCACCTGGGCACAGGTGGGCACAGGTGAGGTGGGCACAGGTGAGGTGGAACACTCCCAGTTGGGTCCCAGTGCTCCCTACTGGTCCCTACTGGTTCCTACTGGTCCCCAGAGGTCCCACGTGGTCCCTATTGGTCCCTACTGGTGCCTACTGGACCCCCAGCCCATCTTAACCTGGGCACAGGTGGGCACAGGTGAGGTGGGCACAGGTGAGGTGGAACATGCCCAGTTGGGTCCCAGTGGTCCCTACTGGTTCCTACTGGTCCCTACTGGTTTGCAGAGGTCCTAACTGGTCCCTACTGGTCCCCGAAAGCACCTGGGCACAGGTCAGGTTGTGCCAGGTCTCACCTGGGCACAGGTGGGCACAGGTGAGGTGGCACAGGTAAATGGGGAGAGAACGCTCCCAGTTTGGTCCCAGTGGTCCCTACTGGTTTCCAGAGGTCCCACCTGGTCCCTATTGGTCCCTACTGGTCCCCAAAAGCACCTGGGCACAGGTCAGGTTGTGCCAGGTCTCACCTGGGCACAGGTGGGCACAGGTGAGATGGAACATGCCCAGTTGGGTCCTGGTGGTCCCTACTGATTCCTACTGGTTCCTACTGGTCCCCAGAGGTCCCTACTGGTCCCCAAAAGCACCTGGGCACAGGTCAGGTTGTGCCAGGTCTCACCTGGGCAAAGGTGGGCACAGGTGAGCTGGGACACGCCCAGTTTGGTTCCACTGGTTCCTACTGGTCCCTACTGGTTCCTATTGGTTCCTACTGGTTTCTACTGGTCCCTACTGGTCCCTAGAGGTCCCTATTGGTCCCTACTGGTCCCCAAAAGCACCTGGGCACAGGTGGGCACAGGTGAGACGGGGACGAATCAACCCCAAACTCACTCAAATTGACCCCAAATGCCCCCCAGGACCCCAAAAAATCCCCCCAAAATCCCAATTTAATCCGAATTAAATTCAAATTAAATCCAAATTAAATTCAAATTAAATCCAAATTAAATCCAAATTAATTCAAATTAAACCCCCCCAGGACCCAAAAAATCCCCAATAAATCCCAATTTAATTCGAATTAAAGTCGAATTAATTCAAATAAAATTCAAACTAATTCAAATTAAATTCAAATTAATTCAAATTAAATCCAAATTAAATTCAAATAAATTCAAATTAAATCCAAATTAAATCCAAATCAATTCAAATTAAACCCCCCAAATCCCCCCCAGGACCCCAAAAAATCCCCAATAAATCCCAATTTAATTCAAATTAAATCCAAAAAAAATTCAAATTAATTCGAATTAAACCCAAATTAATTCAAATAAAATTCAAATTAATTCAAATAAAATTCAAATTAATGATTACCTGTCCTCTTGAACTGCCTGGTCCACATGCACCTGCCGGCCCTGGCACACCTGGGGCAGTCGGGGGCGGCGCAGGAGACCCCCAAACCCCCAAATCCCCCCCAGGACACCAAAAATTGCCCAATAAATCCCAATTTAATCCGAATTAAATCCAAATTAATTCAAATTACGTTCAAATTAAATACAAATTAAATACAAATTAAATTCATATTAATTCAAATTAAATCCAAATTAAACCCCCCAGGACCCAAAAAATCCCCAATAAATCCCAATGTAATTCAAATTAAATTCGAATTAAATTCAAATTAAATCCAAATTAATCCAAATTAAACCCCCCAGGACCCAAAAAATCCCCAATAAATCCCAATTTAATCCAAATTAAACCCCCAGGACCCAAAAAATCCCCAATAAATCCCAATTTAATCCGAATTAAATCCAAATTAAATTCAAATTAAATCCAAATTAATTCAAATTAAACCCCCCCAGGACCCAAAAAATCCAAATTTAATTCAAATAAAATTCGAATTAAATCCAAATTAATTCAAATTAAATCCCCCCAGGACCCCAAAAATCCCCAATAAATCCCAATTTAATCCGAATTAAATCCGAATTAAATTCGAATTAAATCCAAATTAAACCCAAATTAATTAAAATTAACCTCCCCAAACCCCCCCAAATCCTCACCTGTCCTCTTGAACTGCCTGGTCCACATGCACCTGCCCGCCCTGGCACACCTGGGGCAGTCGGGGGCAGCACAGGCGGCCTCGGAGCAGTTCTGGGGGGCGCGGATCTCGCGCTGGTTGATGCGGCAATCGTTCTCCCGGCGGCACGAGCCCCCCGCCCCGATGCACAGCCCCGACGGGCAGTTGGTGCACCACTTACACGCCAGGGGAGCCTGGAAATATGAAATTTGGGGGTTAGAATTGTCCTGGGGGGGATTTGGGGGGGTTAATTTGAATTAATTTGGATTTAATTTGAATTAATTCGAATTTAATTCGGATTTAATTCGAATTTAATTGGGATTTTTTGGGTCCTGGGGGGTTTAATTTGGATTAATTTGGATTTACTTTGGTTTTAATTTGGATTAAATTGGGATTTTTTAGGTCCTGGGGGGGATTTGGGAGGGTTTAATTTGGATTAATTCGGATTTAATTCGGATTAAATTGGGATTTATTGGGGATTTTTTGGGTCCTGGGGGGTTTAATTTGATTTAAATTGGATTTAATTTGGATTTAATTTGAATTTGATTTGAATTAATTTTGATTTAATTTGGATTAATTTCAATTGAATTTGAACTAATTTGAATTGAATTTGAATTAATCTGAATTTTATTTGAACTAATTTGAATTTAATTTGAATTGAATTTGAATTAATCTGAATTTAATTTGGATTAATTTAAATTTAATTTGAATTAATTTTGATTTAATTCGAATTAATCTGAATTGAATTTGAATTAATCTGGATTGAATTCGAATGAAACTGGGATGTTTTGGGTGCTGGGGAGTGGATTTTGGGGGCTCCGGGGGTCTCTCAGTCGTTCTCCCGGCGGCACGAGCCCCCCGCCCCGATGCACAGCCCCGACGGGCAGTTGGTGCACCACTTACACGCCAGGGGAGCCTTTGGGGGGGAAAAATCAGCGTTAGGGGGGTCCCAGAAAAAATTTGGGGGTTTGGTTGAGTTTTGGGGGTTTAATTTGAATTAGTCGGATTTAATTCGGATTAAATTGGGATTTATTGGGGATTTTTTGGGTCCTGGGGGGGTTTAATTTGAATTAAATTGGGATTTATTGGGGATTTTTTGGGTCCTGGGGGGGGTTTAATTTGAATTTAATTTGGATTTAATTCGAATTAATTTGAATTTAATTTGAATTAATTCAAATTTAATTCGGATTAAATTGGGATTTATTGGGGATTTATTGGGGGGTTTTTGGGGTCCTGGGGGGTTTAATTTGAATTAAATTGGATTTAATTTGGATTTAATTTGGATTTAATTTGAATTAATTTCAATTGAATTTGAACTAATTTGAATTGAATTTGGATTTAATTTGAATTTGATTTGAATTAATTTTGATTTAATTTGGATTAATTTCAATTGAATTTGAACTAATTTGAATTTAATTTGGATTAATCTGAATTTAATTTGAATTAATTTGAATTGAATTTGAATTGAATTCGAATTAATCTGAATTGAATTCGAATTAATCTGAATTGAATTTGAATTAATCTGGATTGAATTCGAATGAAACTGGGATGTTTTGGATGCTGGGGGGGTGGATTTTGGGGGGCTCCGGGGGGGTCTCTCAGTCGTTCTCCCGGCGGCACGAGCCCCCCGCCCCGATGCACAGCCCCGACGGGCAGTTGGTGCACCACTTACACGCCAGGAGCCTTTGGGGAAAAATCAGCGTTAGGGGGTCCAGAAAAATTTGAGGGGGGATTTGGGGGGTTTGGGAGTTTAATTTGAATTAATTTGGATTTAATTCGGATTAAATTGGGATTTATTGGGGATTTTTTGGGTCCTTTGGGGTTTAATTTGGATTAAATTGGGATTTATTGGGTCCTGGGGGGGATTTGGGGGGGGTTAATTTGAATTAATTTGAATTTAATTCGAATTAATTTGAATTTAATTTACATTAATTTGAATTTAATTTGAATTAATTCGAATTTAATTCGGATTAAATTGGGATTTATTGGGGATTTTTTTTGGATTTTTTGGGGATTTTTTGGGGTCCTGGGGGGGTTTAATTTGAATTAATTTGGATTTAATTTGAATTAATTTGGATTTAATTTGGATTCATTTCAATTGAATTTGAACTAATTTGAATTTAATTTGGATTAATTTGAATTTAATTTGAATTTAATTTGGATTAATCTGAATTCAATTCGAATTAATCTGAATTGAATTTGAATAAATCTGAATTGAATTCGAATGAAACTGGGATGTTTTGGGTGCTGGGGGGGTGGATTTTGGGGGGCTCCGGGGGGGTCTCTCAGTCGTTCTCCCGGCGGCACGAGCCCCCCGCCCCGAGGGGCAGTTGGGGCACCACTTACACACCAGGGGAGCCTGGAAATATGAAATTTGGGGGTTAGAATTGTCCCAGAAAAAATTTGGGGAGGTTTGGTTGAGTTTTGGGGGGTTTAATTTGAATTAATTCGGATTTAATTCGGATTAAATTTGAATTTAATTGGGATTTTTTGGGTCCTTTGGGGTTTAATTTGGATTAATTTGGATTTAATTTGAATTTAATTTGAATTTAATTTGAATTTAATTGGGATTTTTTGGGTCCTGGGGGGGTTCACTTTGAATTTTAATATGAATTCAATTCGGATTAAATTGGGATTTATTGGGGATTTTTTGGGTCCTGGGAGGGGTTTGACGGGGGTTAATTTGGATTAATTTGAATTTAATTTGAATTTAATTTGAATTTAATTTCGATTAATCTGAATTTAATTTGAATTAAATTGGATTTAATTCGGATTAAATTGGGATTTATTGGGGATTTTTTGGGGGATTTTTTGGGGATTTTTTGGGGTCCTGGGGGGGTTTGGATGGTTTAATTTGGATTAATTCGGATTTAATTTGGATTTAATTCGGATTTAATTCGGATTTATTGCGGATTTTTTGGGGATTTTTTGGGTCCTGGGGGGTTTAATTTGAATTAATTTGGATTTAATTTGGATTTAATTCGGATTAAATTGGGATTTAATTGGGGTTTTTGGGTCCTGGGAGTTAATTTGAATTTATTTTGGATTTAATTTGGATTAAATTGGGATTTTTGGGGGATTTTTTGCGTCCTGGGGGGTTTAATTTGGATTAATTTGGATTTAATTTGGATTTAATTCGGATTAAATTGGGATTTATTGGGGGTTTTTTGGGTCCTGGGGGGTTTAATTTGAATTAATTTGGATTTAATTTGGATTTAATTTGGATTTGATTTGGATTAATTTGAATTTAATTCGAATTTAATTTGGATTTAATTTGGATTAAATTGGGATTTATTGGGGATTTTTTGGGTCCTGGGGGGTTTAATTTGAATTAATTTGGATTTAATTTGGATTAAATTGGGATTTATCGGGGATTTTTTGGGTCTTAAAAATTCAGATTTTTTTGGGTTATTTTTGGTGATTTTGGGTCATTTTGGGGGGTTTGGGGGTCTCTGGGTGGATTTTGGGGGTCCCAGGTGGGGTTTTGGGGTTTTTGGGTTTTTTTGGTGCTTTTGGGTCATTTTTGGGTTTTTTTGGTCCTAAAAAATCAGGATTTTTTTGGATTTTTTTTGGGTTAATTTTGGGTGATTTTGGGTCACTCTGGGGGGGTTTTTTGGGGTCTCACCTCCCCCATGAGGGGTGCCTGGCCAGGCATTCGCTGCAGCTCCGGAGCCTCCGACAGTCCTGGGGGTCCCGGGGGAGGGGCGCAGGGGAGGGAGGGGGAGCACCCCAGGCTGGGGGAGGGTTCAGAGTTAATTTACATCTCATTTGCATAAAATTTGCACCTCATTTGCATTTAAATTTATCCTCAATCACATCCTCCAAAAAAAAAAACAGTCCCAAATCCCCCAAATCCACCCAAAACCCCTTTTAGACCCCCAAATCCCCAGGACCCAAAAACCCCAATAAATCCCAATTTAATCAAAATTAAATTCAAATTAATTCAAATTAAATCCAAATTAATTCAAATTAAACCCCCAAACCCCCCAGACCCCCAGGACCCAAAAACCCCAATAAATCCCAATTTAATCCAAATTAAACCCCCAGGACCCAAAAATCCCAATTTAATTCAAATTAAATCCAAATTAATTCAAATTAAACCCCCCCAGGACCCAAAAAACCCCCAATAAATCCCAATTTAATCCAAATTAAACCAAATTTAATCCAAATTAAACCCCCAAACCCCCAAAAACCCCCAAATCCCCCCAGGACCCAAAAAATCCCCAATAAATCCCAATTTAACCCAAATTAAACTCCCCCAGGACCCAATTAATCCCAATTAACCCCAATTAACTCTCACCTTTGAGCCTCCTCAGCCCCCCGGCACTGCCCCCCACACCAAGCACAGGCCCCCAAACCCCTCAAATCCCCCAGGACCCAAAAACCCCCAATAAATCCCAATTTAATCCAAATTAAATCCAAATTAATTCAAATTAAATCCAAATTAATTCAAATTAAACCCCCTAGGACCCAAAAAATCCCAATTTAATTCAAATTAAACCCCCCCAGGACCCAAAAAATCCCAATTTAATTCAAATTAAACCCCCCCAGGACCCAAAAAATCCCAATTTAATTCAAATTAAACCCCCCAAATCCCCCCCAGGACCCAAAAAACCCCCAATAAATCCCATTTAAACCCAAATTAATTCAATTTAACCCCCCCAAATCTCACCCTTGAGCCTCCTCAGCCCCCGACAGCTCCCCCCACACCAAGCACAGGCCCCAAACCCCCCAAATCCCCCAGGACCCAAAAATCACAATTTAATCCCAATTAAACCCCCAGGACCCAAAAATCCCAATTTAATCAAATTAAATCCAAATTAATTCAAATTAAACCCCAGGACCCAAAAATCCCCAATAAATCCCAATTTAATTCAAATTAAACCCAATTTAATCCCAATTAAACCCCCAAATCCCCCAAAACCCCCAAATCCCCCAGGACCCAAAAACCCCCAATAAATCCCAATTTAATCCAAAATTAAATACAATTTAATTCAAATTATTCCAAATTAAACCCCGAAACCCCCAGGACCCAAAAACCCCAAAAAATCCAAAAATCCCAATTTAACCCAAATAAATCCCAATTAAACCCAAATTAACCCCCCAAATCTCACCTCTGAGCCTCCTCAGCCCCCCGGCACTGCCCCCCACACCAGGCACAGGCGGCCCCCGCCCCGAGGCAGAGCTGGGGGGTCCCCAGGGCCAGGCAGGGCTCGGGGGGGACCCTCAGGCTCCAAAAGCCCCCCAGGGCCCTCCCCGAGAAGCCCCCCGAGACAAAGAGGAGCCCCCCGGCCTCGGCCAGGGCGGGGGTCACGGCCCCCGGCATGGGGGGGCCCACCGTGGAGTTATCTAAAAAAAAAAGGGGGGATTTGGGTCAAAAACTCCATTTTTGCTCATTTTTTTCCCATTTTTTTACCCATTTTACCCCATTTTTTATCCATTTTTTTTCCCAATTTTTGCCCATTTTTTTCCAATTTTTTCCCAATTTTTAACCATTTGTTTCCCAATTTTTACCCAATTTTTGCCCAGTTTTTTCCCATTTTTCCCTAATTTTTACCCAATTTTTACCCCATTTTTTTCCCCATTTTTACTCAATTTTCCCAATTTTTTTCCAATTTTTGCCCATTTTTTTCCAATTTTTACCCCATTTTTACTCAATTTTTACCCAATTTTTTTCCAATTTTTACCCATTTTACCACCATTTTTTCCCATTTTGTCCCCAGTTTTTTCCCATTTTTTTCCCAATTTTTACTCATTTTCCCCCAATTTTTGGCCATTTTTCCCCCTTTTTTTCCCCAATTATTGCCAATTTTTCCCCATTTTTACTCAATTTTTCCCATTTTTACCCATTTTTTCCCATTTTTTTTCCCCATTTTTACCCCATTTTTTTCCAATTTTTACCCTTTTTTTTTTCCCCAATATTTACCCATTTTTTCCCCATTTTTTCTCCATTTGTATCCCATTTTTTTCCCATTTTTCCCCAATTTTTGCCCATTCTTTCCCCATTTTTGAGCCCCCCAGGGCCCTCCCCGAGAAGCCCCCCGAGACAAAGAGGAGCCCCCCGGCCTCGGCCAGGGCGGGGGTCACGGCCCCCGGCATGGGGGGGCCCACCGTGGAGTTATCTGAAAAAAAAAAGGGGAAATTTGGGGTCTCAGCACCATTTTTCCCATTTTTTACCCATTTTTCCCCAATTTTTCTCCATTTTTTCCCATTTTTTTCCCATTTTTTTCCTATTTTTTACCCATTTTTCCCTCATTTTTTTCCCAATTTTTGCCCATATTTTTCCAATTTTTTCTCCATTTTTACCCCATTTTTTTCCCCATTTTTACTCAATTTTTCCCCATTTTTTTCCAATTTTCCCCCCATTTTTTATCCATTTTTTGCCCAGTTTTTTCCCATTTTTTCCCCATTTTTACTCAATTTTTACCCATTTTTACCGACTTTTTCCCCAATATTTACCCACTTTGTCCCAATTTTTTTGCAATTTTTCTCCATTTTTCCTCAATTTTTACCCATTTTCCCACCATTTTTTCCCCCATTTTTGCCCATTTTTTCCCAATTTTTCCCCAATTTTTGCCCATTTTTTCCCCATTTTTTCCCATTTTTTCCCAATTTTTCCCCATTTTATTCCCCATTTTTTCCCAATTTTTCCCCATTTTTACCTATTTTTTCCCCAATATTTACCCATTTTTTCCCCAATTTTTGCCCAATTTTTCCCCAATTTTTCCCAATTTTTCCTCAATTTTTGCCCAATTTTTTTGCATTTTTTGCCCATTTTTTCCCCAATTTTTTCCTATTTTTTCCCAATTTTTTCCCAATTTTTCCCCATCTTTAGGGTCCCCGAATTTTTGGTACCCCCCCAAAGCCCCCCCTTGGCCTCGGCCAGGGCGGGGGTCACGGCCCCCGGCATGGGGGGGCCCACCGTGGAGTTAGCTGGGGAAAAAAGAGGGGATTTTGGGTCAGGAACCACAATTTCCCAAATTTTTTGCTCATTTTTTCCCAATTTTTACCAATTTTTCCTTCATTTTTTACCTATTTTTTTCCCATTTTTTTCCCCATTTTATTCCCAATTTTTTCCCAATTTTTGCCCAATTTTTTTCCAATTTTTTCCTAATTTTTACCCATTTTTCCTTCATTTTTTACCCAATTTTACTCATTTTTTCCCCAATTTCCCCCCCATTTTTACCCAATTTTTTCCTAATTTTTTCCCATTTTGTCCCCAGTTTTTTCCCATTTTTTTCCCAATTTTTACTCATTTTCCCCCAATTTTTGGCCATTTTTCCCCCTTTTTTTCCCCAATTATTGCCAATTTTTCCCCATTTTTACTCAATTTTTCCCATTTTTACCCATTTTTTCCCATTTTTTTTCCCCATTTTTACCCCATTTTTTTCCAATTTTTACCCTTTTTTTTTTCCCCAATATTTACCCATTTTTTCCCCATTTTTTCTCCATTTGTATCCCATTTTTTTCCCATTTTTCCCCAATTTTTGCCCATTTTTTTCCCCATTTTTGAGCCCCCCAGGGCCCTCCCGAGCCCCGAGACAAGAGAGCCCCCGGCCTCGGCCAGGGCGGGGGTCACGGCCCCCGGCATGGGGGGGCCCACCGTGGAGTTATCTAAAAAAAAAAGGGGAAATTTGGGGTCTCAGCACCATTTTTTCCCATTTTTTACCCATTTTTCCCCAATTTTTGCCCATTTTTTTCCCCATTTTTGAGCCCCCCAGGGCCCTCCCAGAGCCCCGAGACAAGAGAGGCCCCCGGCCTCGGCCAGGGCGGAGTCCACGGCCCCCGGCATGGGGGGGCCCACCGTGGAGTTATCTAAAAAAAAGGGGGAAATTTGGGGTCTCAGCACCATTTTTACTCTTTTTTGCCTCATTTTTTACCCATTTTACCCCATTTTTTTTCCCAGTTTTTTTCCCATTTTTTCCCCAATTTTTCTCCATTTTTTCCCATTTTTTTCCCAATTTTTTTCCTATTTTTACCCATTTTTCCCTCATTTTTTACCAAATTTTTGCTCATTTTTTCCCCATTTTTACCCAATTTTTACCCAATTTTTTTCCAATTTTTACCCAATTTCCCCCCATTTTTACCCAACTTTTTCCCAATATTACCCAATTTTTGCCCAGTTTTTCCCCAATTTTTGCCCATTTTTTAAACATTTTTTTCCCAATTTTTTTCCAATTTTTACCCAATTTTTGTCCATTTTTTCCCAATTTTTACCCATTTTTTTCCCAATTTTTACCCAATTTTTTTGCAATTTTTGTCCATTTTTCCCCAATTTTTTACCCAATTTTTTCCAATTTTTACCCATTTTTCCCCAATTTTTCTCCATTTTTTCCCATTTTTTTCCCATTTTTTTCCTATTTTTTACCCATTTTTCCCTCATTTTTTTCCCAATTTTTGCCCATATTTTTCCCGATTTTTGTCCATTTTTTCCCATTTTTTCCCCATTTTTTTTCCTATTTTTTACCCATTTTTCCCTCATTTTTTCCCAATTTTTTTCCCAATTTTTCTCCATTTTTACCCAATTTTTCCCAATTTTTTCCAAATTTTTACCCCTTTTTTCCCATTTTTTCTCCATTTTTACCCCATTTTTTTCCCCATTTTTACTCAATTTTCCCCAATTTTTTACCCATTTTTCCCCAATTTTTTACCCATTTTCTCCCAATTTTTTTGCAATTTTTCTCCATTTTTCCTCAATTTTTACCCATTTTCCCACCATTTTTCTCCCATTTTTGCCCATTTTTACCTACTTTTTCCCCAATATTTACCCATTTTTTCCCCAATTTTTTCCCATTTTATTCCCCATTTTTTCCCAATTTTCCCCATTTTTACCAATTGTTTCCCCAATTTTCCCCCATTTTTTTCCCATTTTTTCCCAATTTTCCCCCATTTTTTACACCATTTTTTTCCAATTTTTGCCCATTTTTTACACCATTTTTTTCCAATTTTTGCCCATTTTTTCCCAATTTTTACCCAATTTTTTTCCAATTTTTACCCATTTTCCTCCAATTTTTTACCCATTTTTTACCAATTTTTACTCATTTTTGCCCCATTTTTTACCCAATTTTTACCCATTTTTTCCCAATTTTTTCCCAATTTTTACCCAATTTTTTTGCAATTTTTCTCCATTTTTCCTCAATTTTTTCCCATTTTCCCCCATTTTTTACCCATTTTTCCCCATTTCCCCCCCATTATCGGGGTCACCCGGGGGTATTTTTGGGTCCCCCGAATTTTGGGACCCCTCCCCAATTTCAGGGACCCCCCAAACCCCCGGGAGACCCCCCAAAACCCCCCATTTTTGGGGTCTCAGCCCATTTTTTACCCATTTTCCCCCCATTTTCGAGGTCCAGCCCCCACCCGGGGTTTTTTTGGGGTGCTCTTTTTTCTGGGACCCCTCCCCAAATTTTTGGGACCCCTCCCCGAATTTTTGGGACCCTTCCCAATTTCTGGGGACCCCCAAACCCTGGGAGACCCCAAAACCCCCATTTTTGGGGTCTCAGCCCATTTTTACCCATTTTCCCCCATTTTTCGAGGTCCAGCCCCTCCACCCGGGGGTTTTTTGGGGTGCCCTTTTTTTTGGGACCCCTCCCCAAATTTTTGGGACCCCTCCCCAATTTCGGGGACCCCCAAATCCCCCCTTTTCCCCCCCTTTTCCCCCTTTTTTGCCCATTTTTCCCCCATTTTTTACCCATTTTTCCCCCATTTTCGGGGTCACCCGGGGGTTTTTTGGGTTCCCCCAAATTTTGGGACCCCTCCCCAATTTCTGGGACCCCTCCCCAATTTTTGGGACCCCTCCCCAATTTCGAGGACCCCCAAAACCCCCCATTTCCCTCCCTTTTCCCCCATTTTTACCCATTTTCCCCCATTTTGGAGTCACCCGGGGTTTTTGGGGTCCCCGAATTCTGGGCCCCCCTCCCAAATTTTGGGACCCCTCCCCAATTTCGGGGACCCCAAACCCCCTTTTCCCCAATTTTTCCCCATTTTCCCCCCCTTTTTCCCCATTTTCCCCCCATTTTTGAGGTCCAGCCCCTCCACCCGGGGGTTTTTTGGGGTCCCCCGAATTCTGAGCCCCCTCCCCAAATTTTTGGGACCCCTCCCCAATTTCGGGGACCCCCAAACCCCCCATTTTTGGGGTCTCAGCCCATTTTTTCCCCATTTCTCCCCCGTTTTTGGGGTCACCCGGGGGTTTTTTGGGGCGCTCTTTTTTCTGAGCCCCCTCCCCAAATTTTTGGGGGTCCCCTCACCGGTGTGGGGGGGTCCCAAAACCCCTTTTCCCCCCCTTTTTCTCCTCTTTTCCCCCATTTTTCCCCATTTTAACCCATTTTTCCCCCCATTTTTGGGGTCCAGCCCCCCCACCCGGGGGTTTTTTGGGGTGCCCTTTTTTCTGAGCCCCCTCCTCAAATTTCTGGGACCCCTCCCCAATTTTGGGGACCCCCAAACCCCCCCTTTTCCCCAATTTTTCCCCATTTTCCCCCCCTTTTTACCCATTTTCCCCCCATTTTTGAGGTCCAGCCCCCCCACCCGGGGGTTTTTTGGGGTGCCCTTTTTCTGAGCCCCCTCCTCAAATTTCTGGGACCCTCCCCAATTTTGGGGACCCCTAACCCCGGGAGACCCCCAAAACCCCACCCCGTTTTGGGGCTCTCAGCCTGATTTTTTACCCATTTTCCCCCATTTTTCCCCCATTTTCCCCCCATTTTCGGGGTCACCCGGGGGTTTTTTGGGGTGCCCTTTTTTCTGGGACCCCTCCCCAAATTTCTGGGACCCCTCCCCAATTTCGGGGACCCCCAAATCCCCCCTTTTCCCCCCCTTTTCCCCATTTTTCCCCCATTTTCCCCCATTTTGGGGTCACCCGGGGTTTTTGGGTGCCCTTTTTCTGGGACCCCTCCCCAAATTTTTGGGACCCCCAAAACCCCCCTTTTCCCCCTTTTTTTACCCATTTTCCCCCTTTTTTTCCCCATTTTCCACCATTTTTCCCGATTTTCCCCCATTTCTCCCCCATTTTCGGGGTCACCCGGGGGTTTTTTGGGGTGCCCTTTTTTCTGAGCCCCCTCCTCAAATTTCTGGGACCCCTCCCCAATTTCGAGGACCCCCAACCCCCCCCCATTTTTGGGCTCTCAGCCTGATTTTTACCCATTTTTTACCAATTTTCACCCATTTTTTCCCCATTTTTGGGGTCCAGCCCCCCCACCCGGGGGTTTTTTGGGGCGCTCTTTTTTCTGGACCCCCTCCCCGAATTTTTGGGGGTCCCCTCACCGGTGTGGGGGGGTCCCAGCCAGGAATTGCAGCGGGTCTGGTAGAGGAGGAGGTCGTTGCTGAAGTCGCTGCCGTCGGTTCGGCCCCCCAGGACCACCAGGGTGTCCCCCAAAATCGCCCCCCCGTGGAAGTAACGGGGGCGGGGCTGCCAAAAATAACCAAAAAAAGGGGTGGGGTTTACCCAAAAATTATGGAGAGCCCCCCAAAACACCCCAAAAAAAGGTTCCTGAAAAAAAAGACCTGAAAACTCCTCAAAATTTCCCAAAAACACCCCCAAAATGCCACTAGAAAACACCAAAACACCCCCAAAACGCCCCTAAAAAACAACCAAAATAACTCAAAAAACGGCCCTAAAAACCCCCCAAAACACCCTTAAAAAAAATCCCAAAATAACCCCAAAAACGATCCTTAAACCCCCCCCCAAAACGCCTCTAAAAAATCCCAAAATAACCCCCAAAAACACCTCTAAAAAATCCCAAAACACCCCAAAAAAAATCTCCAAACACCCCCAAAAACACCTCTAAAAAACACCCAAAATAACCCCCAAAAACACCCCCAAAAACACCCCAAAAACACCTAAAAGGGGTTGCCCAAAATTGTGAGATCGCCCCAAACCTCTCCCACCCAAAAAAAGACCTGAAAATGCCTCAAAACGGCCCTAAAATTTCACAAAAACACCCCCAAAACGACTCTAAAAAATCCCAAAATAACCCCAAAAACACCTCTAAAAGATTCCAAAATGACCCCAAAGTTACCCTAGAAGCCCCCAGGCCCCCAAAACGCCCAAAAGCACTCCCAAAACGCCCTAAAGCCCCAAATAACTCTGAAAGATCCTAAAAAAAGCAAAGACGCACCTAAAGGCACCCAAAATAACCCCAGAAATCCCTAAAAAAACCAAGACACCCTAAAAGCACCCAAAATAGCCCCAAAACAACCTTAAAAAGCCCACCAGATCCTGCAAAGACAGCCTACAAAAGCCCAAGAAACGTCCCTAAAAGTAATCCCAAAGTAGTCTACAAAAAGCCAAAATACCCCAAAAGGGTCCTAAAGAGACCCCAAAGACGCCCTAAAAGCCCCTCAAGATCCTCCTCAAGACACCCCAAAATCCCCCAAATGCCCCTAAAAATCCCAAAAAGACCCCCCAAAAACTCCCCCAAAGCCCCCTCTAAAAGACCCCAAAACGCCCCAAAAAAGTGCCTCTAAAGACCTCAAAATTATCCCAAATTCCCCCAAAATTGCCCCCCCCCGTGGAAGTAACAGGGGCGGGGCTGCCAAAATCATAAAAAAAACCACAAAAAAACACAAAAACCACAAAACACAAAAAGGAGGGATTACCCAAAAGGTATGGAGAGCCCCCCAAAACCCCCCCTAAAAACAAAAACCTGAAAACTCCTCAAAATTTCCCAAAAACACCCCTAAAAAACAACCAAAATAACCTAAAAAACGGCCCTAAAAACCCCCCAAAAACCCCCAAAAACCCCTAAAAAATCTCAAAACACCTCTAAAAAACCCCCAGAACACCCCCAAAAACACCCCTAAAAAAATCCCAAAATAACCCCAAAAACACCCCCAAAAACATCCCAAAAACACCCCTAAAAAAGGAGGGGGGGATTACCCAAAAATTATGGAGAGCCCCCCAAAACACCCCAAAAAAAGGTTCCTGAAAAAAAAAGACCTGAAAACGCCTCAAAACGGCCCTAAAATTTCACAAAAACACCCCCAAAATGCCACTAAAAAAACACCAGAACAGCCCCAAAAACACCCCAAAATAACCCCAAAACCAGCCCTGAAAACCCCCAAAAAACACCCCTAAAAAACCCCTAAAAAATCCCAAAAATTCCATTTGAACCCCCCCAAATCCCCTTTAAACCCCCCAAAAATCCATTTTAACCCCCCAAAATTCCATTTTAACTCCTCCAAATCCCCTTTAAACCCCCAAAAAATCCATTTAAATCTTTATAAAATCCATTTTAACCCCCCAAAATCCCCTTTAAACCCCCAAAAAATCCATTTTAATCTTTATAAAATCCATTTTAACCCCCCAAAATCTATTTTAACCCC